ATAAAATAAAAATGACAAAATAAAAGAAATAATGTAGAAATTATGATACTTAACAAACTGAGATGATCTATAAGATATTTACGGGAGTGTTTTTGTCATAAACTTGTTGGCGACACACTCTCACAAAAATTAGACATTTTGAAGATAAAAATGAGAATCAAATTAAGGTGACAATTTACTGTAGAAAAACCTGCACATATGGTTCTGCTTTTTTCTCCATAAAATAATGTCACAAGTGACATTAAGTGGATTATGACACTTTTATAAAGTCAAAAGAATTTATTAACAAATTTGTTGATTTTGCTTAATAAAACTATAGCCATTACAACTGTACAATAATACTTGTCTCCGGTAAGATGGTGCCAACAATTTTTACTTGATCAGGGAAAAACATAGATTTATTTTAGAATTTTGACATACTATTGTACCCTGAAAAGAGTCTATATTTTCTAAACTGATGTTATTTTAAGTACTTTGCAATTTTTGTCTGATATTGAAAGTCCAACGGCAGATTTTTTTAGAAATGATATCTACATCATTGTTGAAATAAAATTATCAGGAAAAAAAATCTGATTTTTAGAAGCACATCCATTAACCATATTATAGAAACATTTAGGATATTGGCGTTCTTTTTTTCGCAAACTTTTTCTGTGTGTTTAAAGCGACTTATTAGTGTAATGGTACTGAGCATTAATTATGACAGGTTTTGTTGTGGCATTATCAAATTAATGCGACTACTGTTGTAAATTTGATATAGTTTACCGGCACTAGTCGAGGACTGGTTATTCAATTTGAAAATTAAAACCATTCTAGGATAGTGGTCCACTTTCCCTAGAGAACTTGTATGAAACATTAAGGGGATATTACCCAGTGTCACCTGTCAGCAAATATAATGTCATATTTATCAAAAATGTTTTACATTTGCATTTTTGAAAGAGCATCTTTTATGCCACCATTGTAGAGTCCCTGTCCCTGACCATTAACAATTTGACAACAATGTATAGGAATGTCATTAAGCATAATTGCCAGTAAAAATATGTCAGTTTTTAGTTTCATTGGGAATTGTACGAGGTGTCATTACATGTAACATTATCAGTGTCTAAGCCACTCGATGATTCCCGATTTTTATTATATCACATGTTTGTGTGAATAGATCATCAAATGCAACTGGAATGCAAGAAATAACCTTTTCTGCTGCAACTTGACCAGACCATTATTTTATAATGGGAGTTTTTTTTACAATCTACACATTATATACAGATAATTCAAAAATGTTTTTTCTTTTTTTTTCCTATTAAACTTTCTTATATCTAATGTTAAATTCTATTTTTAAAATACTTGCCTGAAGTTAAATCTACTTCGCCAGGGTTTTAAAATTCTATCTTCACAAAAAATCTTAACTGAACAGTGAAGTGTAGTAAAGTGTATTAGATTTAGTGTGTACCCCTGTGCAGGTTAAATTTGATAGACGTGTGTCACAGTGGAGCAGTCCAATTTTATAGGTAGTGTAGCTTCTCGCTGGTAATCTCTTTATCTGCTTGTTGTTCTATCGAATAATTCTCAACACTTGTAACAGATTGGCCATGCTGAGGGGAAATTAATTAATTACCTGTATAAAAACTATAGGTAAGACAGGCACAGGGTCAGCCAGGGTGAGGAGCTTAGAGGTAAGATCTGAACTCCCCACGGCAAGGCCTAGGCTAAGTGCCAGGCAAGTTTCATTTTTGTCATGCTCTTTGAGTCTGACACCTCACATCAATATCTTAAACCTTTTCATGATTAATGCTTATCTTAAACTGTAAAAAAAAAATGTGAATATTAGTAAATGGAGGACCATTTCAATTTTAAGTTTAAATCAACATTTCAGTGAAATTTTGTGAAAAGCAACCTAGTGCAATCTCCTAGTACTTGAATTACGTATTTTTCTTGGAGTGCATGTCAAGGGGTGTTATAGTTTCGCCTATTATACCTATCTACCATTTAGATTAAATGATGCATCAAGAATTACTTAAAGAATGTTTCACAGGGCACCCCTGGCAGGTCTCAGCATCGTGTTTGCACTGTTTTATATTGTAATTAAACTGTCAAAAAGCTATTTCAAATCCTCTGATGAGTATACAGGTAACCAAATCAGGTGAATTGACCCTCTTTTTATTGCCAGAATTTAATAAGGATTGAGTGCAGAATTAAAATGTTACCTGAGAAGAAAACATAACAGAAGGTTTCAGTACATTTCATATTTATTATACTGGCATATTGAAATCAAATTCAAACTAAAAAAAAGTTGTTGTGTTTTTTATCTTTCTAAATGATGCATGGCTAGATAAATATGAATTGTTAGCATTTAATTTGAAACATTAAGCAAATTAATGGAACTTTATCAAGAATTGATGAATGAGAGTGGAATCTGTGTTTATCAATGTTTATAGTTTTAAACAAGATATGACTTAATTTTTGCTTACATGTTTCGATTGATGAGCAAATATGGTTAGAATTGTACATTGATTTATTTAGACATATTCTTACAAAAGAATATTTTGAAAGTTCTATGCAAAAGGGCATTTCAATCACAAGATCTTTAGATTGAAGTTTTTTTTTAAAGTGTGTGTGTACTGTGGGTTTTTTTAATGCAAGTCAACGCCATTTATATACAGAAAATAATTTTTGCCGAGCTTACAAGTTCAATTAAGAACAATTAAATTTGTTTTAACAAACCCCTTCTAGCAGAATGGTTTGTGCTGTGATAGATTGAATTATTGCCCATTATTTCAAGCAACAATGTGATGATTTTAAATTGATCAACTTTTGTTAGGACCTCCTTTCATATAATATCCTTAATTGTTGTAAATTTGATTTATCCCGAAGGCATCGCACTGTCACGACTTTTGACCTTGTTTAGGATATTTTTTCTGATCTATAAAAGTCCTACGGAGATAAAGAGGTATAGTTTTGCGGTATCTTTTACCATTGTTGATTTTCGTATTTTAGAACGATATACATAACTGTATCTGCTGAATGCATTTAAAAATGAATAGAACCTTTTGATAAGATCGTTACTCCCCAATACATGATCCCGTAATTGCGTGTTTAAAATGATCGTTTTTGGCGATACCTTAAAAAGACAATAATGATAATAGGGGTTTAATTACGTGACTGTAACATTGATGGTATCATACGTCGAAGTTATAGGACACTGTGTGATCTACCGCCGTGAATTGCCACCCGTCTGTTTAATTTATGTACTGCCAAAAACAAAATATAATTTATGTGTCAGGGAAGTGTGTAAAGAATATAAGAAAGTCTGTTGCTGGTTTTTTCTCATGTCCATTACTGTGTATTACCAGTATTTACATTTATGTGCTATTTTATTTGTAATCTAGCAAAGTCTCGTATAGAAATATATATCTGGGCTATGAAAATGCTGCCTCTAAATAGATCAACTATTATATTTATAGATTTATATATATATCCTAGTTTAATAAGTTAATTATTATTTAGATATTTATTAATATTTTTTAATTAATTTAATATTAATTAAATATTGAACATTTTAAAACACAGCAAGTCTTTATTGAAGTAATTTCACCTTGTAGACAAATTTGAATATCATTTAAGTTGACACAATTTGACAAATGTTTGTATTTTTAAGTGCACAGGAACAGACGGACATGCGGATCAGCTTGACTGTTGACTGATGACATTGACATGTATTTATCACTGAATTGTGTTCAAGTACATAAATTAAGAAATTCCCACAGATAATAAAATATGTGTAATCAGGTGTCAAAATATCTCCTTGAAGAATGGCTTATCATAAATTATCTTTATTTATCTCATTTTTGTGAGTACATTATCTGCTCGTTCAACAATCAAATTGTTAAACAAATTTTGCTACATCATCAATAGGTTTGCTGATAAAATGTTTAATATTAGTTACAGTAATGTCTTAATGCATATATCTTACATGAAGTTTTATATAATTGATCAATTCTGATCATGCAGTTGTTCAATGCAGTAATAATTAGTATGTTGTTGTTTTGTTGTTGTTGTTCTTTAGCCAGATTTATGGCCCTTATGTTATTTTAATTTACAGAATTACTACCCCTGTGATTTGATACTACTGCATTTTTGTAAAACTGATGAAGGCAAATAAATTATGTTGACAGAAATTATGTGATGAAGATTTTATTAAAAAAAATTCTTACAAAAACAAGCAAAAAAAAAACACCCAATAAACACCAGACACCCTTCCAAACAGGAAAAGCAAAAAAAAATATAACGCTAAAAAATATCACATGCACCTGAATAGTGTTAAATGTTCAAGTATTACAGATCACAAGTTATTTATTTTGTGTAAGAATGATGGATTGTTTCTGGGAAATTTTATTTATAAGATATTTGTGGTCATTTCTTTGACAGCAGTGGCTTCAAATAACACCTGAGACTTTACATTTAACAAAATTTTTGTATTTACCTGCTCAGTTTAAAATTTAAATGATTTATTATAATAAATGACACTAGTCATTTTATTAATTTAAGTGTTTTATGAGAGTATTTCCCGATTAATTTTAGTTGCAAATGAAAAAAAAAATATGTATGTATAAAATATAATAGATATGTATATATAACGCAATACAAACAACAGACAATATACATTCTTTTCAAGTTCTTGCCGTAACCTGTCTACGATTTTATTTCTTTGTAATCTTGTTTTTCTATAAATGAATGTATTATATTCATATGTACATAGATATTGCCTATTTATTTTGTGGGTGTCAATAGCTGTTAATGTTTACTTATCAGTTACAATGCACCATGGCTGATTACAATGATAAGTGTCGAGTGCACACCTGTTTTGATTTATCAGTATGTCCGCAGCATGTTTGCCGATGTGCACGTGTGGCCTGAACGTACCCGGAATAGGGTACCTGAAATGGCAAAGATAATAGTTATCTGATAATGTTGCTCTTCTAGTAATCATCGTTTTTCTATATTTTCAGGGGAACAAAGTGCCAATGTTGCAGTCTCCACTTGGTGTCATGATGGGGTACAACAATGAACCTCCGTTTACGTCACCCCCTCCAGCACACATGGGTATACCCCCAGTCACTATAGATCCCAAAACAGGTAATGTACAAACCTAGGTCACTTCTGCAAAATCATTGACAATGTAAATATTCTTATGCCAAAATATATATATATATATAATTCTAGGAATTTTTTTTTTTCTTTTAGTTTTTTGGGAGGATACTGGAATTTCTCCGATAATTATTTGTTTTTAGCAAATTGTAAAAGTGAGAACAATGATAATTATGCAAGTAGTGAAAGGATCCTGATTTAAGGGGTTTTTTTCCCGTCATAAACAGCTGTAAATTATCAGTGTGTTATTAGGGTAATGCTTTCATCAGACATGCTAGATCTTTATGTCTAATTAATGAAACTGTATATTATTTAGTTTTTGCAAGTCTCTCGTAATAGTTTCAGAAACAAGGAATTTTCAACCATGTTGAATAATAGTATTTAATACACAGACATTTTGAAATTATTAATCTCTTTTAATCAGAAATATTAATACATTTGTCAATTTGAATTGGTAATGTTCAGTATTGCATCTATATTCATGCTAAATTGCAGCAGTTGAAAGTAGTAACAGAAGTTCAAACTTGTAATGACCTGTATTGTATCAGAGATTCAGACTTTAAAATTGGACGAAATTGTAGCTCAGTGTACTTATAAGTACTTTGAGGCAACCTTTCGGATACTGCTCAGTGCTGAACTAGTTAAGATAGTTTTGAGATGACCCCAATCCTTGTAAGATAGTATAGTTTGGAGATGACCCCTGGTATTGCTGTTGAATTAAAGGGCTTTAGGTTATTGAAAGCAATTATAATTTCTCGGCTCAGCTATAATAAAATTTTCATGATTCATGACAAAATAATTCAGAAATTTTGATTTTGAACATTGTTATCATGAATGTTTTACTGCCTGATTACCAAGTTTAATCATTTTCTTAAATGGACCAAGGTTCTTGACAAGGACTTGAAATATGCCGTCAACATATTCTCTTAATTTTAATCTAGTTAATTGACGGGAGAAAATAAGGATATCAAAATACTGAATATTTCCATTTATTATTTGAAGAGATTCTCGATATATGGTAAAGAATGAATAATTAAAATGAAGATAGCGGAAAAAATTTGATCCGTTCTAATTCATCTATCATAGAAATCGATAGAACTGTTTAAATAAAAGTCTAATTATAATTCAGCGGCTTTCTGCTCTTTCAATTCTCGTATTTGCGAACCTCGTGAAATCTTTGAACTGGTCAATGCTGAACACTAGAATGGTATTGTCTTGATAGAAATTGCTAACTCGGATATAAATCAATTTAAAGTAACACTGAAGATCTTGGTACAAATGCTTTGATACTTCTATATTTTTTTTACGATATAAACTTCACATTTATACCACCACAAGAAATTTACAGATTATCGTACATGCGCATAGTATTTTTATTGTTTAATATCTCATTATCACAGATGCTTATATTTGACTTTGATGTGATATTAATAAAATAATTCCTCTTCAGACAGAATTAAGTAAACAAAGCGGTAATAAAATGTATATATTGTATTTTTCAGGTTTACCCCGTCATGCATTTCCATACCACACTACAGCAGGCCAGTTCCCTCCATCATTATACCCAGATGTCAGTTGGTAAGATTTTTCATGATTTATAGTCATCAACCGTGATTTATAGTCATCAACCGGCAGAATATTACTTATAATGTGACAGTCAGTGGGGACTTTAAATTTTAAACTTAATGCAGTTTTTAAGTTTTTCAATGTCGAAGTACGGTACAAAATTTATATAGCCTATTTACATAGTTTGGTCAGATCTGCATCGATGTGGTCGATGGACTGGCTAAATGCTGGTGGCATACCTCTGTTGTTAATGGCAACAAATGCTCAAACAATTTGCCTTATTGAATCACGATTCAGATTTTAGTCAATTAGGAGAAAAAACATGTGTTATGAAATTCATAGTAAAATTTATTATTTTAAATTTTACCTACAATATTATTTAAGCTTATTTGAATTATTGTTATATTCACATCATAGACCTGTAGCACCTTGAGCCTGTGTTGTATTGGGGCCATATTAAAGGCTCAGACCCATGGGTACTGACAACTTTATATACATATCAAACATACCCTATATTTTATATCAAAGTAGTGGATAGGTAGAAAAACAAAAATTTAAAACTGTCAGTTCATATAAAGTTGTTCATCTCGGCAGACTTATTTAAAGTAAACATCGGTTGAACCTGATTCAACCTGAAATATTTGCGTTAATTTGATGTAAGATAACTGAATATAAAACGAGGAGTTTAAAGTATACTAGATATGTGAATATCATGTTGGGTCAATGCATGTAGAAATGATATTTCATAGCTACCTGACTTCAGCAAGATGTTATGCCTGGCTCATTACACTGGTTTTGTTATCACACAATGGCACTCCACAAAAACACTTCATTTTATAACATGATACAGATTTTTATGTGTAATATAGTTATTCTCATAAAAGTGTCAACCAGATTTTTTTTTTTTCGATGAGTGCACAATTGAGGCCAGGCAGGAAAGCTTTACAATTATTGCGATATGTTCGTGATTTTTTTTTATTGTATCAAAATGATTGCAATGTTGCGTTAGAAGCAAAAATTTAAATAAAAACGTCTCAATCAGTTTTATCACATTTTTCTTTTTTTTGAGTGCAGCCTCTTAAATAGACACGAAAATAATGGAATTGTTTTTATTTCCGTGATTGGTTGTTACAAAAAGAGGAAAGAATTTTTATTTTAAGATAATTGTAAGCTATTTATAATGAATTCATCATTTGTATGATCCCGTCTTGCTGGTAACAAGGTACAGCGAGGTTGAAAATTTCAGTTAACTGCTGACTTGGGTTTTGATTTTTGTCCAGTATTTAAAAAAAAAAGAAGAGATACAAGAATAAAAAAGAAAGAAAAATAGAATTCAATGTAAAATGAATGACTTCACATTTAAAAGAGTTCACATGTAGTTTCAACACTCGACATTCATGTCTGTAAGAATGTAGTTTCAATGTGAACATTTGTATGAACATGGATTCACAATTAGTTCTAGGATGACACTTACAGAATAATCAAGCATCTTGTGTACTCTGACTTGACATAAAGCAAGCTTCTTCACTACTCAGACATGACATTAAGCAAGCATCTGAATGACACTGGCATGACATCCATATCACTTGTTACAAATTACCTCCATGTTGTATGAATTATAAAACTAGACAGAAACATTTCGAAGTATGATGATGATGATAATGATGATGACCACAATTTGTTTGCCACTACACAACTACACAATACTGCATATAAAAATATATTATATTATTTTTCTTGAAACATTCAAAATATAATAATATTTCTTGTATCAGCTAAAGAAGTGTATATATCAAATGGAATATTATCATATTTTTTTGTTCTTTGAGGCAAAAAAATAAAATAAAAATAAAGAAAAATAGAATTTCAGTAAATTAATCGTCATATAATCAGATTCATGTAAATAGTTACTCATTGAATAATAACTTTGTCGCCTGAAACGGACAAGAACTGCTGCTTTAACCAAAATTATACAATAAAAATTCAATGACTTGACACAATGCTTGTAAATGAATACATAGAGCAGATTGGTAAGGTATTTATATGTGTAATAGTCAATTGTTTTTCATTTTTCGAGTTAATTGTCAATAATATTTGAATTCTTCTAACACTTAATTTTGAATATTATCTCCGATATCATTGTTAATGTGTTTTACATGGCCGAAATTTGAACCTGACATGATGATGATGATGCAAACAACAGCTAAAAACTCATTTTATAAGAATGATAAAAAAAAAAATACGTAAAAATCATATTTCCATGTTGAAATAATTTGAAAATGTTAACAAACCTCTGGTGGAATCTCAGGGAAAATTTACAATTTTTCCCTTTGATCTTATCACCTTCGTCACATCGCAAATTAGTTTTGGAATCATCCCTGGTGTCATTTTAAGCTTACAACCTGACTTATTGAACTTTTAAAATGATTGATAACAACTCTAATAATGATTCATTACTAGGGGAATTGGAATCCTTATTTTCTGTTGACTTTCTCTAAATGGTAGAAAATTGTTTAAAAATTGTTTGAGCATAATATGCCTTAAAACTGTTATTGTCAAGGCTTTGCACATCATTATTGCATAGTATTTAATATTTATCATATGTGATAAATAAAAATGACAATCTCAAAAACACGGAATACAAGACATGAAGAAATGCAAACTCCTGTTGTTGATTTTGTAAAAGATAACTTATTGAAGTTTATTGATTACTAGTATTTTACTGGATGGGTATCAATAATACATTATTTCTAACACACATAACAATGTCACATGTTTAATGTTTAATTTATATATCTAAAATGTTCTAGGGGTTGTTTTCATAGTATAAGTATCATTCTGTTATGATTTTTTTTATGATGAGATTTTCCGTGATACTCTAAATGTTTGTAATTTGACTTAATTAAGGCATTTTGGCATAACTTAAAAATGGAGCCATTTTCCAGAGATGAAAAATATTAAACATTATGCTCTTTTTTTTTCCAGGCAAAGACCCCCAGGTTATCCCATTTCCTCAGGTGCCTTAGGTGGACATTACCCACCCTCATTTATTAACTCATCTGCACGCTTTCCAGCAGGATTTTTCCCCCATGGTGTACCTCCGGGTATGTCACATGGCCATTTAGGGGCGGGACCAAAACAGGAGGGAGGAGTCTCAGACAATCACAGGTAAGCTAAATATGGATTAAAAATAAAGATTACCATTAGTTCTACCCGATTGTGCCAGCCGGCATAGCTTAGTCATTTAGAGCCCGAGGCTTGTAATCTTGGCAAAGTGGGTTCAATTCCCGGACTGGCCAACTAAAATTACTAATCAGTCTTTCCGATGAGACTTTAAATGTAGATCCTGTGTATGAGTGCTTAAACACTTGGCATAATTAAGTCTGGTACCTATAAGTCCCTGTATATTTTGAACCCATGCAAAAAAATAATAATAAGACAAAACAGTTATCAACTACATTTTTGTAAAATTGAATATTCAGTTAACTCAATCAATGGTCATTTATATTTGTTTATAATTACCGAATAAAACATGATATACTGTTAGGAATTATTGATTTAAGTCTGTATAAAGTGCTTAAACAAGATCAGATAAATGTAGCATCTCAGTTCAGTGAGAACAAAAAAAAACAATGCTTTTTAAATATGATATTTAAGCATACAAGAATTAAAATGTTACTTGATATTTGGAAAATAAAGAAAAAATTCAGCACTGTATTTTTCAAAATGGAACACAGTCTTGTATTTACCCTAAAGAAAAGTTATTTATACAAAGTAACATTAATGATAGATTCACTGTCATAGAATCCTTGGTAATTAAGTGACTGTGGAAATTACAAGTATCAAAATCCTTTACATATACTAAGTGATGGGAAATTACTTGTATCAAAAAACAGTCTTTAGGTTCATTTAAGATTCTTTTGGCTCTTTACAGATCATAATTCACCCTCAGATAATTTTCTTGTGTCTTTAAAGTAGATATTTTATCCATTCTCGGCAATTAGACACTAATAAATAACAGTAATACTGTCATGACCAGAAATAATGTGTTGATATATTAAGTGTTAATTTCACATGTAAATCATATTTCTTATAAGCAACGGTTTGATTCTGTGGGTTCGATTTGTCTTCTATTCGGTGTTAAAATACTTCGTTATTTTTCAACATGTAATGTATCGCAGACTGTATTTATTGTTTCAGAGTTAATAAATCTAATGTAAAAAGAAAAACATCAGATTTTTCTTCACAATAATCTGCTCCTGTGATATAGGGGAGAAATTTAAGTATACTGGAATGTCATTTGTTACAAGAATAATTAAAATTTTGAGGAATGTTCTCTCTTTTATTGTAATAAATATTTTATGCTATGTTTTATATAGACAGTCTAAAACTTATTTATTTCTTCTGCATGCTAATTTAAGAAATTAAAGCAATTAGCAGGGTGTTTTTTAATCATAAGAAATATTTTAATTTTCTTGACCCCGTTATAAATGTCGCTTTTCTAATTAGTTTTTTCTTTTATTTGATGAATTATGTTTTACCTTGCTGAAGAATATTAACCAATTAAGAAAAATATTTTAATTATTTTTTTACCCGTGGTAAGGAAACAATTTACTTTCGTTTTTTACACATATTTTTGAAATATGATTGCATTAACAGATAATATACACCTGTAAGTTAATAAAATTAAATCATGTAACACAGTGAAATTGCTAATCATGATTATTGCCAAGAAAAGAAGTTTTATATGTTTTTAATTTTTAAAAAAAATAGTTAATAAGAAATGAAAGCAGTTATATGATGCTGATTTTAAGTGATTTTGATCATTGTCTCTTAGAAGTTTGAATCTCTTGTGCAGTAACTTCAGTCAAAGATAAAAGAAATGAAGAATGAATAAAGGCACTCAGTATTTTCAGTTGATTTATGGGAACAAAATCCATCTTTGATAATTTTTTAAAATCTTTTATTTCTTCTCTTTTCTCTCCCTTTGAAATGTCAGGTAAGATGTTAGAAGTTACTTCCCTTTGATGGATTTTTTTGTTTGATTCATCCTGTTGTCAGTTGTTAAAGTATGAGGGGAAGAAATCTTGTGCCATATGTCTGTATGGTGTGTGGTGTTGTATTGTGTGCCAGAAGATGGAGAGAACTGTTGTAAAATTGTCTGTAGATATGAAACAGTTAATGCCCAAATGTCTACAGCATCAAGAGACTATTAATGTCAATAAATGTAGATTTATTGCTGATTTATTCCTCTAACAATCAACGCATCTACCATTATAAAACACTCACTTTATGTATCACAATAAAATTAGTGTTATATTCCCCATATATATTTGCATTCTTTTTTTACTTAGTTTATAGGGTATATTATAATGGGAAGATATCTTAGATGGAATTGTTTGTCCTTTGTTAAAGGTGATGTGTGTAATTGTTTGTGTGAAGTAGCTTTAACTTGAAAATGGGATATTGTATGAATTTCTTATGTAAATTTTGCCTTGGTTTCTGATGTAAATGATTTTGTCTTGGTTTCTTATGTAAATTTTGCCTTGGTTCTTATATAAATTGAGCCTAGGTTTCTTATGTAAATAATTTTGCCTTGGTTTCTTATATAAATTGTACCTAGGTTTCTTATGTAAATAATTTTGCCTTGGTTTCTTATGTAAATCTTGCCCAGATCTCTCATATAATGTTTGCCAGAGTTGCTCATGTAAATTTTGCCTTAGTTTCACATTAAAAATTGTTCACTTTATGTTGCCTGAGTTTCTCTCACTCAGGTATAGAAAAAGAAGTTGAGATGATAAAATCTTGAGGGTAAGAATTGGTATAAAATTATATTTGATTTTTCTTTAGACTTGATGGTTTGATATTGTCAGGCATCTATTGTTTAAGACGTCCACATTTCTTATGCTGAATTGTCAAAAGTTGTGAAGTTGCCAATCTCACAATAATTATTGTTAAAACAGTGTTTCAAACATAAACAAAATTTGATAATGTTACCATGTTACATGTATCTGTATTTTTGTGTTTCAGACATGGTTTTAATGAAGGAAGTGGGAACCAAAGTCCTGTACCTGAAAAGAAAAAGCCTCATATAAAGAAACCCCTGAACGCATTTATGTTATTTATGAAAGAACAAAGAGCAAAAGTTGTAGCAGAATGTACACTAAAAGAATCTGCAGCAATAAATCAAATATTAGGCCGACGGGTAAGTTAACTTTGTGACTAAATTTGTGACATCAATTATTGAAATAATTTTATAACACAAGGATCAAAACTTGAAATTGCTTAAAATGAATTTCTTTTTACCTTGTAAGAGGGATGGGTTGGGGGTGCTTATATCCAGAATATGTACTCAGTATAGTGAGGGAATTCTTTAAAGAATTAAAACAAATATTTGGGAAATGATTGATAACGTTATTGTTAGATTTTAAATAAATGCTAGAATTGTATAAGAGTATGAAGAGTGAGAGCGTACACATAGCGAAGAAATCTCAGGAAGGAAAATGAGATTGTGATTTAACTGGTCATCATTGCCTGATGTGGACTACACACGATTTACCAGAACAAAGTTATTCATGCCTGTATAACAAAACAGCTATTGCATCATCGTACATAAATGGAACACCAGTTCAAAGTCTCTTCTTTTGGTACCCGGCCCAAAGCTGTAATTATCCTAATGTCTATGTAAAACGTTTATTCCAGACTGTCGGAAAACTTTACTGTTATAATTAGCGCCACATTATGTTTGAAGATAAAAGAATTGTTCAGCTTTTGATTGAGCACTTGAATATTTTTGTGTAATGAATTGTGGCTACTCCCCCCAGAGTTTGATTTCCTCCTATGTGCCCTTTGAACAAATGGCGTCTTTGATGCCTGCCTTTGAATATGTATTTATTTTCAAGAAAGTCTATGTATCTATACTGCATAATATTGCTCTTTTATTATCTTTGATGTTCTGATTCAGTAGAACAAAAATATCCTGTAGTCCGTATGAAAGGTTTTTAAATAAATGCATTGAATAATTGCTGATCAAAAGAAAGTTCTATTGAGAAATACACATAAAAGATATTTTGCCATTTTTATTCTCTTCTACTTTTCTTTCAAAATCCTAATGATGATAATATTACCAGACAAATGCGATTGTGAAATACGGCTAAAAAAAAGACAGTAAAGCATAAGTTGGCTAAAAATATGTACGGCATCACATAGAATCCTTAATTCATTTCAGTGGCACGCTTTAGATCGGTCAGAGCAGGCTAAGTATTATGAAATGGCGCGGAAAGAAAAAGAATTACATCTCCAGCTGTATCCTGGCTGGAGTGCACGAGATAATTATGCAGTACATGCTAAAAAGAAAAAACGAAAGAAGGACCCGATGCCCGGAGAGAAAGGTACGCGCCCTGATGATCGATTTATGGACAATCCAGCCTTTGGTAAATATCAGGGTCGCGAACCATGCATGCCGTGGCATATATACGTGATATTGGAGCTAGAAAAGGATCATACTTATAACCACTCCTCTCTGCCTCCAATATCTGCCAACTTGCACCATGTTGTCTTTGTTTTATACTAAAACCAAAACCCAAGAAAAGAAAATATTCCACTCTGCGCATATTTTCCTATTTTGGAAATGGATTTTGTTTTCGACGTCAGGAAGGCCGCAGAGTGTGCGTTTTCAGCACAAAGATGATTGTCTCTTGCACTCTTTACCAGATCTTTTATATTTCTACATAATTTGGGGGAAAAATCTCAATGATCATAATAATAATAATAAGTTCGGTACTTTTGAGTTAATGAAATTTTAATATGACTATGTTTAAAAGATCCTATTAAAAACAAATTAATTTCATTAGAAGTGAAGCACTAACATTTCACAATATCTGAATAAGAGCTAAACATAATGGATTCAAAAGACAGGAATGATAAATGTGAGATGAAAATCGTTTTAAAAGATTTCTATTGGAAGCTCTTTAGAAGACTTAAACAAAAGATGAATAAGACCTGTTTCAGTATAGAAATCATTTTAATATCAATATGATATCTTGTAAAAGCAGGAAATTTCAATTTGTTTATTTAATGTGATTTATTCACCAATTTAATTTGCCAGAATTTAATCAGTAGGTTAGGTAAGCATTATCATCTAAAAAATCAAATTAATATATCAGTCTGATAAAAAAAAAAATTGGAAATGGAAAAAAACAAATATGAGATAAGTCTGTGTTAAAATTCCCGGGGGCAAGTCTTTAGGAGGCTGTAACTTATTGTTCCACTCCTTCTTTATATGTCTATTACATGATAAAGTAAAAAAAAAATATAATAATTTCATCGAAGAATTTTTTTTTTATATTTTAGGATATTGTAATATTGGCTGTAGATGTCAAGATATGTTTGATAACAAAAAAACTAAATGTTTAATAATTGCTTAATTGATTGCTAGGGTTTCAATTATAATTCAATAGATGTCCGTGATGTTAAAGCTAAAAAGATTTTTTAAATGATAGATTGTTAATTTGAACAAAAAAAATGAAAGTACACGAAAAAAAGTTTATAGGAAAATAGTAAGAGTTGTAATTTCATAATAAATGGTTTTACAGACTTGTTTATTGTTAACAGGTGCCGATGAATCTTGAAATTAAAGCGAGTAAATAAATTCAGAACAAATTAAAATGTCCAATTATGTCATTACGTGACATGTTTATTAAATGTATTGTTACATTTTTTGTCATATTTGTTTATTGAGATGAAATTAGACTAAAAAAATGAGAAATTAATGAAAATGGTATATAAAGATCAGTTTGATTCAATATAGAAGTTAATACGTAAGTACGGGAAATCTGCCGTAAAAAAACCCTCAGTAAGAGATACTTCAAATAGTTTGATTTATAAAGAAATAATATCTAACTCTTAATTTCTAAGATTTACAATATGACTAAACAGTTACCTTAGTTTAAAACATTCATGAAAATTATTGGATTAAAATTGAAAAAAGAATTATGACTGTTATATATTTGTGTTGAACATAAATAGAAAATTAATTATCTTAAATTTTGTTATTTTTTTTTATCTTTGCAAACTTTTTATATGCCTAAACATATTTAAGAACTATTAACTTTTGAAAAATAAATTCAATATATTTATTTTTGTATCTAGTTACCTATTTTCTACAGTTGTGAAGTTAAAAGTATAAAAAGAAGAATATTCAAATAAAAATTATAAACAGAATTATGGATAAATAATTAAAATTGTTTGTGATATAGTATTTTATTGAAATTTTTAATAAGAACCAAATGTTAAAGATTTAATTGAGTAAATAAATGATGATAATTACAGATAAAACGTAAAAAGAAATAAAAGCAATACACATTTGAATTTAATTTGATAATATAACTAAAATATAATTAAATGAAAATATTCTAAGATCAAAATAATATATAATTATATATATAAAAAATCATTTTAAAACAAATTTGTAATTGTTAAAATTAGTATTTTTAATTTATGAAATATAAGTTTTAAACATAAAGAAATATGAAAAGTTATTCTATGGAAACAGTATACAGAATGATATTTTATGTATAGTCATATTTTTGGTAACAATTAATTTTTTTTGATGAGACATTGATATTTTTCCCCCAGTTATCTTGATTTTATGAAAAATTTGGAGAGAAAAAAATGAGAGGGGGTGGGGGAGGAGATTTTATTTCTATTATTTGAATACATTTTTTGGTGAATGTTTCAGTGGCATTCATTAGATAAAGAAGAACAAGCCAAATATTATGATTTGGCGAGAAAAGAGAAAGATTTACATTTACAATTATATCCTGGCTGGAGTGCACGGGACAATTACGGTTCGCATGTGAAAAAGAAGAAACGAAAAGTGGAAAATATTAAAACTCATACTTTAGGGGATACAGGTAAAAGAAGAAAAAAGTCTTCTACTAATAATATTATAGTCTTTGCTGGTATATTGTGTTGAAATTGGAGATTCTACTTCTGGCTTCAGTTATTATTACTTTAAAAAAAAAGTTATTTTATTGTTAAAAAAAAAAGAAGAAAATATTGAAAAATACAGATAAAAAAGTTATGTTGTATTAAAGGGAAGAAATAAAAGTAGAAATGTTACATTCACCTGTTTAACAAAAAAAATAATCCATTTCTTTGTGCATTTCACAGCCTTTATTCTTTTTATTATAAACAAATTCAAAGTATTTATTTTATTTGGCGAGGGAAAAAAGTATGATTATATTGAGTAATGATAAAAAATAAATCTGTATAATTGTTATTTATGGAAACAGAAGTTGAGTCTTCAATGACAAAAATAGAATCTGTATAAAATGATTTGGAAAAAAATGGAAAAGGTAAGTGACATACAAGTTCCCATTTTCCTGTAAATATCATGTGAGCTCCAACCATAGTAATTCAGACATGACCAAAAAACATTTGAGCTGCGTCGAGACAAAACCAACATAATGGGTTTGCGACCAGCATGGATCCAGACCAGCCGGCGCATCCGTGCAGTCTGATCAGGATCCATGCTGTTCGCTTACCAACTCTATAACTAACAAGTAGAGATACTGATAGCGAACAGCATGGATCCTGATCAGACTGTGCGGATGCACAGGCTGGTCTGGATCCATGCTGGTCGCAAACCCATTATGTTGGTTTTGTCGTGACGCGGCTCATTTATTTATAAAATATGATTATTCAAATACACAATCATACAGAGTGCCCAGGGGAAAAAAAACGTAATGATATTGATCTAAAGTCAATTATAATTCAATTAAAGTGATTATAAATTGATTCACTGTGATTTACTATTTCATTATACTGATAATAGTAATAGTATGATAAAATTATTATCTTTAATATTGAATAGAAGTAACCCTCAATGTATTGCTTTGTGGAACTGACAATTGGTTGGGTTTTTAGGCTGAATGACATTGGTCCTCAATCAAGCTTTATTTATATTATTTATAAAGAAAAGTTGATTGGCTTTCTTTTGATACAAAGTACTAAAATATTTTAAAACCATCCACAAAAGATAAAAAAAAAAAAGAAGTAAATATCGAATTATTCTGGTGTTGGAGTACACATGATAATAATATACTAGTAACATAGGGTTAAAAGCATTGAAACAGAGATATGCCCGTACACCATCTGATGGCTGCCACCTACTAGGTAAGGGTCTAGATGAAGAAAAATACCATCAAAACAACAATTGGTAAATCTTCCTGGCCATTTTACATCATTATTTGCATGCTTGCATGGACTTGGCTTTAATTGTGGTGATAATTAGTTAATTCTGTTTTTCACTAAAAAATGTATAATTTCTTTCCTATGCTTTTTGTGTTGTTTTTTCATCTTAAACTTGAAAAAGAAAAAACTTTTTCTTCTAATTATGCGTGAGTGAGTTTGCAGACATTTAAGGACATTCTATACGCGTTTCATTTTATGTCAGTTGAAACAGATACATTTGAAATTTTTTCTGGCACTTTCTATTTCTAGTCATTGACTGATAACTGTCATGAATACCTTTACGAAAGAATTTTCTGTTCCTCTTTGAAAGTCTTATCACAATTTGGTACAATTCTCCTCATGCACGTATGACACGTAAAACTCATGATTGAAATTGTTCCCATCAAAAACACATGCGTCCCCCATGGGAAATGTAAATGATAGTTGGCGATGATTTTCTCTGATCAAGCAACAATATGCGTGTTTCAATAATGGCTTGATCAAAGCGGTTAAAAAATCGGCAATTTGATTGTTTTGTAATCGCTACTTACATTATATGCCCCTTGTGACCTTGCCATAAAGGCTTTTAAGAAAATTATGAAATTAATGCACTTTAATTTGGTTCCCAAATGTTCATAATGCCTCGGGAGCTAGTTACTTGTTGAGATTGAATGAATTTGGACCAGTGTTGGTTAGATATAATAAAATATTTGAGCTGCGTCATGACAAAACCAATATAATGGGTTTGCGACCAGCATGGATCCAGAGCAGCCTGCGCATCCGCGCAGTCTGATCAGGATCCATGCTGTTCGCTATCAGTTTCTCTACTTGTTATAGAGTTGGTAAGCGAACAGCATGGATCCTGATCAGACTGCGCGGATGCGCAGGCTGATCTGGATCCATGCTGGTCGCAAACCCATTATGTTGGTTTTGTCATGGCACGGCTCATTTGTCCTTTTAGATGTGTGACTGATTTCAACTGTTTCAAAATTTGAACCATAAATTTAAGAGATTTCAAAATCAAATTGTTAAAATTATGTCACCATTAATATATATAGTATGGTGATTTTACTTTCAGCATAGCCTGTCTTTTATGCTGTTAACATAGGTCTTGTACCAACAAAAAATCCCTAAACTATTTCATGGTTATAGCATTTGCACCAACACATTATTATATTAACAAATTTACTCCTTTGTATTTAAAGTGGTAGGAGATCTGTAAGACAGAGCAACATTCATGAAGCTCCCATTAGTGGTCACTATTAACTCCTAATAACACCGGGACTTCCAAAAAAATAGGTTATCAAAATTATTACTTCGTTAAGGTTTTTATTCTGGTCATACCACCAAAAAAAAAAAATGAAAACTAAATAAAAAATTATGAAATTTTGCTGATGCTAAAAAATATAAACTTTCATATTCATAGAAACGCAAGTTAAAAGTTAGCAATAAGGATTTTCATCTTTCACTTTATATGCTGTATATTTGTTGTAAGTCTTGTCTATCCTGGCATTTTTTAAGTTCTACAGTTTTGTAATGTGTGCTTTCTGTCCTGTAGGTGAATGTACAAATAGTGCCAAGAAGTGTCGAGCTCGATACGGTATGGAGCAGCAGAAAAATTGGTGCAAACCTTGTCGGTAAGTTACCATGGCAATGTTGTTACTTTGTTTTACATTGTGCTGTAAATGAATTGTGGGAAAAAAACTCATGACAAAATGTTTTGTCATTATGTGGGTGATAAGGGAAAATTTTTAAGAATTTCAGTTTTTCAATAATTTGTTTTCTTTTGTGTAAAAGAATGAAACTGATTCTTAATGGTTTATTATTGTTCTTTTATTCTGAAGACCATGTTTAAAATGAATTTCCGTATTTGCAATTTTTTAAGTTGAAAAAAAAAAATCACATAGTATTTTTATTTACTGTGTAGAAATGAGAAGTACTGTTAAAAATGTATAACTTTTTGCAGATTTTCTATTGAAAAGTTAATATGTTTTTTCTTCTTTTTTTTTCTACTGAAAAATCATAATAATGTGAAGCATTTTTTCTGTTTTTTTACTATCATTTTTATAAATTATCAGATCATATGAATTTTAAAGAATGAATTTTATTTTACGTAAAATGTAGTAAGATGTCTCTATTTTCTTAATCATATTTGTTGATTTTCAGGAGTGAACAATCTAGTGATCAAATTGTAGATATAAAAATAGCTAAATCTGAAAATGAGGTACGAAATGCCGCATGATGATTGGTGGCTATTAATAGTAACGCTTATGTCTGCTGCTTTGTGCATTTTCATTGGCTGAGAGTAAATAATAACATGCATGGCCTATTTGTAAGACGATATGTTTTTTTTGTGTTTTTTTTATAAAAGTACCAGTCTTGCGCTATTATTTTACTGCGGAAAGATAATTAATTGAATCCGTTTTTGATATTTTGATAATATGCCCGTATTTAACATGATACATAACTGCATCATCTGTTTTCAGTTTTCAAATAACAAGAAAAATTAAAACAAATCCTATTTATTATCTTTCTTTTTTTACATAGCTATAAAATAACATCTTAGAAAACCCAGCCCTGAAAATGGTTGCTTATGTAACGCTTTGCTTTTTGTATACGTAACGTAGCATGTGTTAATCATATTTTATACTTAATGCTTATACTACTTTAATGAGCTTTAGATGTATTTATTTCCAGTACAGTAAGTCCAAGTTTTAAATTTAACAAATATTTTTTTTTGTCTGGCAGTTTGTGATTTTTGCTTTTGATATATTCTTCCCGTAACCCAGTAAAAATAAATTTTCTCAGACCTCAGGTGTATTTCAAAGGTAGCTTTGTGTTTTTGTCAAAGTTGCGAGATAATACCAGCAAAATTTCTATAGCATTAGTTTTTGGAATGATTTGTAAAGGTTGACATAATAATACAAATTTCAAGATGATTAAATTTTACGTGTCACAAATTTCATTTCATGTGTTGATATATTCACAATTTAAAATTTTTTTCTGGAAATTTATCGTCAGGAATAGTGTGTTTTTTGATATCATTTTTACCCCCACTTTTTTGGCTTTATTGTTGTCTGGTGATATGACATTTTGTCGTTCTGTCATTCTTGTGTATAATTACAAATTAATAGATAATGCCCCAATGATTTCTTTCTGTAGACAATACATTATGAGACAGGTATGGAAAGAACCAATGGCATACTGAATTAAACTTTCCCTTTTATTGTTTGACCTGTCCATTTCTTAATCTTGGAGATTTTAATATCAAAATCCTAAATTTCAACAGCCAACATTAAATATCCTGGTAGGGTGACTGACCTATTCAGGTATCACAGCAATACAGGCTGGCCTGGCTGTATACAGGTCACATACTTCCTTAACAAGCTTAGTGTTTAAGTTAAAACTTGTTAAACAGTTGCAGATAACTTAATAACTTACTGTTTGCCAATTGTAAAGTACTGGTCAGATAATTTTATCAAATTTGTGAATTATATTTATAATTTTGTATTGCTTATATTAGTGCTAGGTCTGCTTTAAAGCTGCTTGTTCACAGAAGGCTGTAAGATTGTTTTATCAAGTACTTTTTTCTTTTTGGACAGATTTGTTTAAAAAAAAAAACAATTTGAAATAAAAAAAAAAATCAAATGTTTACATGATACATGTACTTGAAATCTTTTAAAAGAAATGGAGAGATCATTTCTTCAGATTTTGTGTAACCGAGACATGTAGATTTATACGAGAGTCTATAAATATTTGATCATGATCGATCAGAAATGTGAACAAGGATGCTTTAATGTACTAATAGTCATTAGAACTAAGATAGTAGTTAATTGTTAATTAAACTTATCAAAAATGTATGTAAGAATTTTCTAGACAAAAACTTTTAAGGTGTTTTTTTTTTGGTGGGGTGGGTTGTACTTTGGCTTACTTTCTTTATAAAGGCCTCATAAGAGTTCATTAGAGATTTTTGCTAACTTTTTACATTTGCTGCCCACAAAACTGATATCATGGTAACTTATAAAAAAAAAAATTAAATGATTTGAAATTTTTTTACCATTATGTCATAATGATTACAGTATTTATTAATTTAAAGAACGTAGTTAAGAACATTTGGACTATTTTTCATACGTTAGACAACCCAAAAGAGATAATTACAGGAAACATATCAAACTTTTTTTTTAAACTTTATTTTTATTTCTATGTAGTCTATATGTTCTAGATGTAAATTTGATAATTTGCAATGCTTATAACAGGATAAACTATTTTTGCACACTAACAGACGGATGTTTGCACGTACCCGCTAGATAAATACCTGCTAGTCGTTAATCATGAAATGTATATATTGTATTTACAGGCACCAGTAGGAGCTCATTCTATATAAAGCACTCTTGTTAGATATATGAGCCGCATCACGACAAAACCAACAAAGTGCGTTTGCGACAAGCATGGATCCAGATCAGTCTGGGCATCCGCGTAGTCTGATCAGAATCCATGCTGTTCGCTTACCAACTCTATTACAAGTAGAGAAATTGATAGCGAACAGCATGGGTCCTGATCAGACTGCGCAGATGGTTTGGATCCATGCTGGTGGCAAACGTACTATGTTGGTTTTGTCGTGACGCGGCTCATTTTTATATAATCTAGCAAATATTACATGAGCACTTGACAACGTAAAACTAGTCTATAACCGTTGGTATCTCAGATACTCGGATACTTATACTCTCAGCAGGGCTGGCAAAATCTGATTTTGACTTTATTTCCCGTTATTATTTGAAGTATTTTTGACCTTGTCCCTTTGATACATTGATATAGTAAATTCTTGAAAATTTCCACTTGTCCGCACAGACTGTAGGACAGTCGGGCAATTGATTTTGCCGCCCCTGAAATAAGGCTAGTATTACGTTTAAGCCCATGATAAATAATTTTTTAAACTTATTTATTTTGTATTTAAACAGAAATCATAACCTGCTTATAATATTAATTATGCTGTAACAGCGTGTATTTTGATAATTATTTTACAGCATGCTTGCAAATATGGTAACAAAATTCAATTAAGTATTTAATAGTTGAATTTATGGAAATGAAGGTACCCTGCAGTTAATGAGGTTGATGAGTTTAATTATAGATAACCAGGAATATTATACAGGTGTGTTATATATATCACATGTATAATATTTGTGCATTTGTACTACCAGTATTTTTGAAATCCTTACAGGTTGACTTTTGGCATATGTGCCACCATGTAGTCAAATTTTTACTTTGTCTTAAAAACATTGGTTATATTATTATATTAAGTTCAATGTTTCTAAATTAGATCAGGACCTTTTATTTCGAATGTCTGTTATTGTTTAAACCATATTTGCCTGCAAGCAGACTAAATTGTTCTTTTTAATTATTTATTTCATTTAAGATTTTGTTGCTTAAGTCTATGGTGTGATATTTCTTTTTAGCATTTTCCTTATTTGTTAGTTATTTTTTCTACCTATTATATTTATTATATCTATATTGAATTATAAAACATTCTATATTTATATTTTAAATCATTAAAGTATTTAGTTTTTCATATGTAACACATGAGGGTCAATATTTGCTATTTAGTTTTTGTTATGAATATGGCTATGATAGCTCATATAAAAAACACTGGTCTATTTAGTAATATTATGATGTGGGAAAATCAATTTTGTTTTGACACATTCTTTTCCTTTTTGCTTATTCTTTTGTCTTGAGTCTCCATTGTTTCTCTTGTGGCTCATTTGTTTTCTTTTGAATTACAGGAGGAAGAAGAAATGCATTAGGACTTATGATGAAGGAGGAGGTTCAGATGAAGAAGATGGACACATGAGTGACAGCCAGATGGGTGAGGACAGTATCCATGACAGTGATTCTATGCCTGGTAGTCCCGCCCATTCTTTTACAAGTGACGATCCATTCTCAACCCCACACAGGTCACGTCTGCAAAATGTTGAATCACCTCTTGTTCATGATTCAAGTCGAGATCACCAAGACATGGACACTACTATGAAAGCTCATGAAGATATTTTACCTGCTCACAAATCGCCTTTTTCAATGTATAAATTTTCCGATCATAATTTATCAGGACCGGACAAATACTTGTCTTCTCGATTCAACTTTCCTCAAGCGTCGTCACCGTTGTCAATATCTTCAAAATCTTCCGGATTGAATCGGTCTTACAGCATTGAATCACTCGCGAAATCTTCTGTCAACTCTGATTGTAAAGAGACAGGTGACCACAACAGATCCTTTGATTATGCTCTTTCACCTCTGTCAAGTCCTGGTGATTTAAGCTACCAGAATTCACCAAAATTTAGTATTTCAACATTTGCAGAAGACATAAATAAAAATTTGAGCCCAAAAAAGAAGCCAAGCGGGTTGAGCAACAATTTTAGTATTTCCACATTGTCAGTATCGGCTGTCACGCCATCTAGAATACACTGTAGTTAATACGATATTTTATAGATCAGTTGAGTAACTGTCGCTCATCATCGATCATGTGTAACAAATAAAAAAATAATGTGTCCCAGTCTGTAGTAGCAGACGACAAACTGACGTTACCAGTGTTGTCTCTTTCATGTTGTTTGAGCTGGAACCAGACTGTGAATTTTTTCACTATTTAGTCGACCAGTCTATTTGAATGACCTCCTCAACCTTGATGTGTTGTTTCCATTCCTCGTGGCATAATACAGGGATCTCAGACTATTCACTCCAATGTTCTCAAAAACTTTATTAAATTGAGGATATTTGTTCAGAATATCTTGCGGTTAAACAGAACAAACTAACAGCGTTAAAAATATATACTTTTGAGTGTATAAAGATTTTTCTTGAAAAGAAAATTCAAAGGTAAAATGTTACATTACCAAAGTTACAACCGGAAACATTGAACTTGTGAACTCTACATAGTGGAGAAACTGGTTGTTGATGGTTTCGGATGGGTTATATACCATTTATATAAGTGTGTTAAGGAGATAGTGACTCTGTATTGCCGGTGTAGAACGTTTCATGTACACGTATCTCAAGACTGTCGTGTTGGCATACTGCCAAATCTCTACTGTGTTCAAAACAATCAAACCCTCGTCTTTTAAAAGTTTTCTACACGGAAGTTATACTTTACAAATTGTTTAAATGATTTGTATTTTTATGAAGTTTATGACTACTCCACATTGTACAGGTGTGGAATTTCTTCCAGAGTTATATCAACATATAATGGCAGGTGTTTAGCTGTTACAGTCTATCTTTTATTGAAAGCTTCTTGAGCAGCCTATCATATGTACTAGTAAACTAGTTTAATGTTGAATTTAGAGACACAATTACAGTGTTAAACATTTGTATTAGATACAAGTGTCGCATATTCTTATCCTTTCTTCATAATCGTGTGTATGTACAATGAATTGGTGCATATTTAATTTTGTTTAACATGATACAAATGTATATTGGTCTTAGATCCAGATTGAATTAATATCTTTTTTCATTTGCATTCTGCATGTAGACTAAATATCACCATTTTATAAAAAAAATGCATTAAATTTTAATTCTAATTAAAAAAAAAACAACAAATTTGTTAATGTTACGACACAAAAATCTTGCATTTTTTCTTACCGTTGGATCAATATGCCAGATCTATTTGCCAAAAATATGAAATTCTGTAGCTGTAATTTGAAAACACCTTTCCACAGTTCATCTAAATACTTGTGTAACTTGGTCTTTGCGTTTATTGTGTATTTAGGCAATCTTGGTTTGAAGTAAACCAGTTTTTAAGGGCTGCTTTTTTTAGAAAAGAAAAGGAAGTCATTATAAGACTAGTGTTTTCATGAATTTGCAGGGGAAATATTTAAATATAAGACAATATAATATAGAGATGGCTTTTCAGTACCAGTTTTAATGAAATGTTATGCTTGTTTAAAAAAAAAATTTTTGTTTGTTAAAGGTTTTGCTTGATTTTTAACACTGGTTTGAATGTATAAAAAAGGAAAACTTTATATGATAATTGAATTATTGAGTTAATTGACCATCTTGTTGCTACTTGTACTTACTTTGAGTTGATTGACCATCTTTTTGCTACTTGTACTTACTTTGAGTTGATTGACCATCTTTTTGCTACTTGTACTTACTTTGAGTTGATTGACCATCTAAATGCTACTTTGTATTGACATGTAATCTATGTGCCATTAATATAATCTCTTGTAGGACATAAGCATTCAAAAATGCACAATCCTGCTCAATTTTGTTGTTGTTTTCTACAAGAATAGATTTGTACATATCGTTATCAAACTGGAGATAAATGGTACAACATCGCGACAAAACTTTCTTTCAACCAGTGCCTGTGGTTAATTATCTAGTGATATTTGTTGTTTATTCATTCATATATCATATATACTATGTCAGTCATAAACTTTCAATCGCACAGAGTCTGTGACTGCTTCATTTGTACTTAATTTATATAATTTTGCTTGTATGTTATTTGTCTTGTTTTTCTATTTTGTCTTAAAGGGCCTTTCTTTATTCAGCTTGCATAATTTTAGTAGATTATCTGAAAGACATGTTTCAGATGTTAAATGTATGTTATCTTTTTTTCAACCATGGAGCTTATCAGAGTGTTACTTGTAAACAATAGCATATTAAAAACTGTAAAAAAATGTCTATTCTATAAATGATTTTTATTTTAAAACCTTTATAGGACTTTGTCTGATAACTATGCTTTACAATTAGATACACTGTATATTTTGTTTATGGACTGTAGGAGCTTGCACATGGATCTGAATATTTTCAAATCCAACAGCATTGTTCATTACCTTGATGTTTTGAACAGTGTCTATGGATTTTTACTTGTTTTCAAACTTGCATGCTCTCTTATAAACTTTGATTGGTTCATGAACTTTTTGATACAATATCAATGGATGCTGAATGGTTGGTAAAACTAACTTGTTTTTCAAAAATGTTTTGGACTTGATTTGTTCATGAACTATCTTGCTTTTCAAATATGTCCATGGACTTTGACTTGTTCATGAACTATCTTGCTTTTCAAATATGTCCATGGACTTTGACTTGTTCATGAACTAACTTGCTTTTCAAATATGTTTATGGACTAAATTGTTCATAAACTTGCTTGCTTTACAAATATTCCATGGACTTTGACTGTTACATGAACAAAATGTTTTTGAAACTGATAAATCTTGTCTGTTCATTCCATTTTTTGTCAACCAAAGATTTACAAAGTTTACTTGATCCGCACATGACTTTATTAATATTGTAAAATGGAAGCCATTACTGGCCAAGAGGAGATGTTTGTTGATAGAATTGATATTCCACCATGCTTAAATATAAAACTTAATAAAATTTACTTTTATATTATTAAATAATGGTATTACAATATGTAGATTTTCTCTATTTAGACATTATGGTCTGTAGAAATATGTCCAGTTAAGTTGACATACTGGCTAGCTATACATGAGTAATTCAGGTACTGACTGTGAAAGGAACAAGTAAACTTTGTTGATTTCATTGTACACATATGTTATAAACTGTTACAAAGTTTAGATCTTGAATGTTTGTGATTTTTCTTCTCTCTTTCTTCTTTGTTTCTTCTTCTGCTTTATATTTGTTAATATCTTTATATAAATGCAATGTTTATATGTACTTCAAATGAATTCTACCTCCAAATCACTTAAAGGTGTTTTTTTGTTTGTTCAAATCTTCAGTTGTTAAGGTCGTGTAATGTGAATAGATGTAGCTTACAATAATTAGATTTATGATTTGTGTTTGAATGTTCTCAGAAATATTCGAGTGATATGGTCATAAAATATTTTTCATAAAAAAATATAATTATTTTTGTTTGTTTGATTACATTTGTAAAAGACTTCCTCTAATTTATAAAACGTTATTATCACTTTATGATTTTGTAAGATTGTTTGAAGTCATATAACAAATATAAGTTTTATTTAAAGCTACTTGTTCACCAGCGGGGAAAAGGTTTAAACTTTTGCTTGTTCAAAAGGTACTGAAACCCACTTTTAATTATGACACATTTTATACTGATAAGAAAAATTTAGTTTGATAAGGAAGACAAAATTAAAAAAGATCAATATTTATCTAAGTTATTCAAAGTGTCTACAGGGTTATTTCCCTTTTTGCATAGATTTTGTGTATTTAATGTGCATTTAGGTGAATCGCTTAACACAGTACGAAAATGTACTGTGAGAGGGAACTCAAGTGTGAATCGGTAGCTTTGAAATACTAACTATAGTTATATGAGATTTTAATGATTATTGATTTATTTTCTCAGAACATTCATACTACATTAGGAGAAGTCCAAATTCTAGTCACACACCTGTACTGCCAGTGTTGTTAGCTGTAGTTACCTGCCCCTGCCAATAGAACAACTAGAGTTGTGTCCCTTTGTAAACCTCTTCAGTAAATGTGATGTGTTAATTGATGTTTAATTGTTAAATCATAATTATTCTGTAACTCGTTTATATAAATTTTGTATAGGTTAAACTGACGTGACTTTATCATTTTAAAAATGAACTTAAAGCATAATTTGAAATTGGACTGATAAATGACAAAAAAAGCAGACTTAATATTTTATTTACATGGATTTTTAGTTTCATTTATACTTTATTACCAGTGTGACCTTTATTTGAAGAATTAAGACACTTGTTAGTTATTTTTATTTTGCTTATTTAAATTTCTGACAAAATTTTTAAACTGTTTCTTTAGGTAATTACAAAGATAATGAATTTTTTGTACCTGCAAAAAAAGTTGTTAAAGAACCCAGCCATTAACAATGAAATTTTGTTTTATTTTGTTGACATTTTAAATAAATCATGGTTTGGTAACGCGACCAATTAAGGTGCCTATGATGTAAGCCATATTGCGGAAAATTTCTGTATTTCATGTGAATATTGTTAACTGCTTTTGTTTGTATAATTATGCTTAAATGTAGAGATATGTGTGTATGAAATATAGATTGAAGTAGAAATTAAGAAAACAATCAAAATATTAGTTGAACGTTATCCTGAAATTGTGATTATTGTAAATTATTTTTAGTGAGGTGTCTCTGTTGTTTACTTCCATATGGACTCCCATTATTGTATTAAATCAAAATATTTCTTTCCCTATAAATAAACTCATTCTAGTGGATTATTCAAATGAAATTTTAGGTTGGTGTCATTGTGTAAATGTCCCCCCTTGTTGTATGGTATATATTAATTGCACCAGTCATACTTGTGTGCCTATATCAATGTCATCGCATTTTTCATCTGGATGAAATGCCCCTTTTCTCTGATACATTTATGTACATGTATATCTAAATGTTCTTCTATCATGACTTTGTTTCCAGGGTTATAACAATTTTCTAATTTATAAGCTGGCATTTTAGGGGACATTTTTTTTTTGTATCAGTGCCAGTAACTACTGTTGGTCAAGTCACAGAACGAGTTTTCTTAAGACTTTACTAGGTTTTATTTAGAGCCGCATCACGACAAAACCAACATAATGCGTTTGCGACCAGCATGGATCCAGACCAGCCAGCGCATCCGCGCAGTCTGATCAGGATCCATGCTGTTCGCTATCAGTTTCTCTACTTGTAATAGAGTCGGTAAGCGAACAGCATGGATTCTGATCAAACTGCGCAGATGCGCAGGCTGGTCTGGATCCATGCTGGTCGAAAACACACTATGTTGGTTTTGTCATGACACGGTTTATTTATTTAAATGGTTGTGACGTTATAGTGCTGTTTCTATTATAATAATGCTTGTATATTTTAAGGCTTGCGGAGATGGTGAGAATGTTTCACCAACTTGTATTCCTCTTTTCCTTTCTTTCCCCATTATACTTACATACAATTCTCAATTGTTCCAAAAAAAAAAAAGTTAATTTTATAGAATGTTAGTGAAAGATCATTGTTGTTGGACCAAAGCAAAGCTATGGTTAAGAAAACAATGAGTAATAGAAAAAAAAAATCCCTTAAAAAAAACTAAAATTATTGTAAAGAATGATATATAATTATATTACCCTTGTTTTCCATGACAACCAGTGTGTGTTAGCATGAGGTAAATTTTCAGTTGTCAACCATTTGTTCATAGAATAACTGTCTGTAATTTAGATGGGGAATAAAAACTTTTTTTATTTGAAATTCCTGATAATTATTTTTGTCTCTTTTTGTGATTCTGCATAAAACTGATCTGTTATTGGTACTGTAAAATATTACATGTATATACAAGGTAATGTCAGTCATGGGGTGGATTGTATATTGTTTTACACTCTACTGTTATACAGTTTAGGTTAAATTAGTTTTTCACTTTCATTTTAATCGCTCATTTCATTTTTATAGTCTGAAAAATAAATAAAAACCCTTTTTTTATGTGAAATTTTTATATAATGTAGAGGCTACTTCAGATAAAATGGCACTGTAAAACGGTGATTAAATTTGTATTTCTATTTATTTTGCTGGTTTTTTTTTCTACAAAGTAACTTGACACATGTTTATTTATATTGCAGCGAGAAACCTAACAAAAATATTTTAAAGGAATGTGTACCATCTCACTCATGATGTAATTAATACAAAATGTAGACTTTTTAAATGTCAACTTTAAAGCAACATGCCTCCATATTTATGCTCATTTTCATGAAAATTTTGAAAATGTATTAAGAAGTAAAATATTTTCAAGTGAATGAAGGAAGTACTTGACACATTTCAAATGATTAACAAATAAATCACAAAATATGCAAAATGGTCCTTTCAGTGTTAGTCACACAGTAGATATATGTTGATAAAAACTGCAATATCATTCAATAATCACATATAACATGTAATTTATTACTTAAAATATAAAAAAAAAAATACCTTACTTAAAATCTAGGCACATTTTTCTTAAGGTTGACTTTAGAAATTTTTTGGGCTCATTTGGAGGCATGTAGTTTCCATTTAACAAGAAATGGAAGGTAGGATTTTTCATATGAAGAATATTTTTGGAGCAATTACATGATTGTTCAGTTGGTGCCACTTTATCTTTGAGGGTTCATACACAATTTTTATTTGAAATGTTATTATTATTATTATTTGTGTTTTTTGGAAACTTTGTACAAAGTTTCATTATATTGTCTGTTAGACATTTCTATTTTTTTCAGTTTAAAGCATACATGTTCATTGGTAAAGCTTGATGGTTTATCTTTGAATTATCATAATTATTATCATCATTTTCTACTCATTGACAAATTTTGACTGTGTATTTTTTATGTTAATGAATTGTTTCAATAATAAATTTACATTGATTTAACCTTGTGTGTTTTATTATTTTTGATTGATAGGGAACAGTTACTGTGTTGTAATCAGGAAAACCTTGGTTCTGGTCTCTAATGATATTGTCATGAGCTTCGAAACATCCCAGGTATATGCAGCCTTGGGTAACAAATGATGTCATAAACTGTTAACTGTCCAAGGTATTGACTCAAATAAAGCTGCAGAATGGCCATTTTATCAACTTGAATGATGTCATAAGCTATGGAATGTCCAAGGTATCAAATCAAATGATGTCATAATCTTTGGAATGTCTAAGGTAGAGACTAGAATGATCCAGGCAATGGAATGTCCCAGGTATTGCCACAAATGATGTCATAAGCTATGGAATGTCCCAGGTATTGCCACAAATGATGTCATAAGCTATGGAATGTCCCAGGTATTGCCTCAAATGATGTTATAAGTTATGGAATGTCCCAGGTTTTAACTCAAATGATGGAATGTCTTAGGTATTGACTTAAATTATGTCATAAACTATGGAATGTCCAAGGTATCAAATCAAATGATGTCATTAACCTTGAAATGTCCAACTCGGATCCTGCCATTAGCTATGGAATGTCCCAGGTATTAACTCAAATGATGTCATAAGCTATGGAATGTCCCAGGTATTAACTCAAATGATGGAATGTTTTAGGTATTGACTTAAATTATGTCATAAACTAAGGAATGTCCAAGGTATCAAATCAAATGATGTCAAACTTTGGAATGTCCAACTCGGATGCTGCCATTAGCTATGGAATGTCCCAGGTATCCAATCAAATGATTTCATAAGCTATGGAATGTCCCACATATTGCCTCAAATAATGTCCTAAACAATGGAATGTACAAGGTATCGACTCAAATGATGTCATAAGCTATGGAATCTTTAAGGTATAGACTAGAATAATATCATAAGCTATTGAATGTCTCAGCTATTGACTCAAATGATATAGTAAGCTATGGAATGTCCCAGATATCTCAGTATTAGCTGGTATCTAGTCTGACTTCACACCACTTGCCCTCACTGCTGTGGGTTGGAATCCCAGAAGGAACATTGGATTGATCTTGTCCAGCTAACCTACAGCTAAATTTCCTGTTTTTGCCTGAAAAATGCATGGAGGGGCAGTGAGAAAAATAAATCCAGAAACAAAGTGATCCCTCTGAAGTATTAATCACACCAAAATTACATGAAAATTGCAGACTCGGTTTGATTAAGTCTGTACATGTGGGATAATGAATAAGTGCAACATCCTTCATGTCCTTCCCCCCCCCCCAGCACCGGCTTGAGCGGTTGAGCGGTACTCAAATCTCAACACTTTATAGTGCTGGTATCAATGATCCCTCAACATGACATCAAAGTCTTCCTCTACCTATTCTTGAAATACACCATATAACTTTAATACTGTCAATGTTACTAAAAGGTTAAAATTTTGTAAAAATAGAAGTGAAGAAGCAAATTTCCAATGGTAGAACATTTTTGCAATATACATGTATGATACGGGACAAGTAATTTAAATTAACTCCTGGCAATAAAAACTAGTTTTGAACAAAAATAATCACAGTTATGGGGAGATCTAGTATCATTTATAAAATATTGGTTTGATAGGAGCAAATTGTTCATAAATAATAAAGTTAACAGACCTTGAAATAGTAAAATCTATAAAAAAAACATTAAAATTTTAATTTATAGTCACCTCTGACCTCACTCATGTACAAGAGCTGTGTGATGTATATTCAATGTATATAAAATATATATATCAACTTCTACAAACAAAGGGAGATAACTAAGACTGGTTATACAAAATAAGCTCTTGACTTAAACAAGTGGGAGAATACTGCTGCTAGCTTTTGAACTCCAACCTATATATTATGTGTGGATCCAATGCTACCTGTGGTTGGGATTTAAAACTGGACACTGAAATGATGGAAACAATTGTTATTTTATGCAATAAGCTGCAAAACTCCCTTGACTCATATGATGTTTTATAAATTATGAAATGTCCCTCGGGTATCATGTCTCAAATGTTTTTTGTCAACTAAGGAACATCTGGCATTATGTTATTAAAAGCTATGGAACATGCACATGGAACATCTTTGGTACATCACTGGTACCTAGTGTGATAATGTAAATTCATGTATAGGCAAGTTTCAATAATCTTCTTAGGAAGATGCCTGGTACCTGTAGTTGTGTTGTTGTTGTTTTATCCCATGGGCAATTCCTAAAATTAAGATCGCAATGAATATTACAAGTTGATTGTTGTTCATAGGAACATCCCTAGTATACAGGTGATCTAATATGCAAACAATATTCCTATTTTCAATTATTCTGATAGAAAAATGAACATTCACATTATTATCTTCTATCAGCAAATGTTAAAATTAATCGCTAAAACTTAAAAGTTACAGGTTTTTTTTTTACTAATTGCCTGATTACAGTTGTAGAAATAAATCAAATAATTACAGACATATTATTATGTTACACCAGTATAAAGACATGAGTGTATTGTATCAATATTACACTTTGATGTCTTTGTAACAAAGATAAAATAACACATGTAAAACTGTTGCTGTAGCTTCTTTTACAGAAAGAAAGCATTCTAATTAAATCTAAATTTGCCTCTACTACTAACAAACCAATAAAGTATTTCAAATAGCCACTTAATGGCTTTACTTTGTCTAATAAGCGGAGTAAATTAGTAGAATTTTCAGATAAAACACAGATTTAACATGTAAAAAGTTCTTTGAAATGATTTTTTTGCTCATTTCAGATACATTATTCATGTTTCCACTGATAGTTTCAGAGCTATTAGATCCCTGTCAATTCACATTAAAGTCTGGTATAAAACAATACTTACAAGCTATCTTATTACAAGGACACAAATACAAGACTCAAGATCATATTTATTAGCGTAACTGATCGTATCTGGAACTTGAAATAGCTTCTATACAAGTTGTTAGATGTATAATCATCAAACTGTCCACCTGTTTGACAATCTATAAAAAATTGGACATTAAGAATTCAATTTGAAGGTTTATCAAAAATTATATTGAATTTCAATCTTAGCAAAATACACACTTGAAAAGAATACCAGAAGGTTCTAGCTCAAGGTCACTTCACCTGAAAATAACTTTTGCTGTTTGATGATCAAAGCTAATATTGCTGTCTGATGGTCAAAATTACTTTTGCTGTCTGTTACAGTCTAAGGTTCAGGGTCATTTTAATCACTATTGCCATTTGGTGATCAAGGCTATTACAACTGTCTGCAGGTCAAGGTCACTTTTGCTGTCTGCAGGTCAAGGTTACTTTTGCTGTCTGCTTGTTTTACTTTTGCTGTCTGCTGGTCAAGGTCACTTGAGTTGTCTGCTTGTTTTACTTTTGCTGTCTGCTGGTCAAGGTCACTTGAGTTGTCTGCAGATCAAGGTCACTTTTGCTGTCTACTGGTCAAGTTTTTTGTTCGCTGTCTGCAGGTCAAGGTTACTACAATGTATAACTGTCTGCTGGTCAAGGTCACTTTTTCTGTATGACGGTCAAGATCACTAGTGCTGTTTGATGATCAAGGTTACTATAACTCAATGTCACTTTTGCTGTCTGCTGGTCAAGGTCACTTTTGCTGTCTCATGGAAATGTGATGCCATGGTGATGTATGTATTACAGGGAACTGGTACACTGCGGAATGTATCAGGAAAGCTAACAACATGGGTTACTTTTACAATGTTAAGAGATAATACCATTCCTAGTGTATTTGTTGAACTGCGGCAATAATTACTGGTACCAGGATAATGGTGCACTGTGTAACAAGAACAATGTAGTCACTCAAGTGCAGTAAAAACATGCCATGGTAAATCTGGAATCTTTATCGAGAACCTTCAGTATACCATTATGAGCAAGTTGAAAAGCTGCACCCATGGCAACCTCTATGGTCTCGAATAGAACAACTATAATATTAAGATAAACATTAGTGTTAATGTCAAAGGCTTATTTAGTTAATGGCAAAGAGAAAACATTCATTTATTTATGTGACAAACACTAAGAATTAACAAAGCTTACCTGTGCGCTTAATTTTTTTAACTATTTTAAACCTCATCGCCAAGAAAACTTTGGATATGTGACAGGCTAAAAATGGCCTCAGGTCGATCGTAAGGTAACGTGTAACCAACCCTGCAAGCCTTTTACTCTATCTCAATCCATTGAGAAGTTGCAGCACTTTGAAATCAGTTTTGATGGAAAAAAACAATGCAAAATAGTGATTTTTGGCAATTTTGAGACGTCCCCCTGTTGCCATGGTAACAGGAAATTTAAGATTGAGCATGCTGTTACAGAGGCTATGGTCCAGTCAACATTTGTGCCAAGTTCCATCAGTATTGAAGCATTTTTCATAGTTTCATAGCTGTTTGAACTTGTTACAGGAGGCTTTTCAATAACTAGAACTCCGCGAGTCGGAAATGGCCAGGACAAAAATGAAATATGAAAAATAACAAAGGGCAATAACTAAAAAAAAATAATAAGTGCAGAGCAGCAGTTTCTGTGCACTGCACTTCTTATCAATAAGATCTATCATTCTATGATGTTTCAAGTCCATAGCTTTCATATTTGAGGAGAAATGACCAGGACAAAATAAAGTAAGAAAATCAACAAAGGGCAATAACTCAAAAAATAAGAAATGCAGAGTATCAGTTCTTATGCACTGCACTTTTTCTTAATGAGATCTATCATCCTATGAAGTTTCAAGTCCATAACTTTTATACTTTCTGAGAAATGGCCTGGACAAAAATCAAGTATGAAAATTAACAAAGGGCCATAACTCAAAAATTAAGAAATGCAGAGTACCTGTTCTTGTGCACTGCACTTCTTCTTAATGAGACCTATCATCCTATGAAGTTTCAAGTCCATGGCTTTTATACATTAGGAGAAATGGCCCGGACAAAAATAAAGTATGAAAATAAGAATGAAAAATAAGAATTGCAGAGTACCGGTCAGTACTGCACTTCGGGTTATTGAAAGAAGCATGCATACCAAGTTTGAAGTCAATCAAACTTATAGTGACTGAGTTATGCTCCGGACAAGCTTTAGGGGACGCCGACGCCGACAACGACACAGACGCCGACAAAAGTAACCCCTATATGTCACCTTTTCAAGGCGACACGACGCCGACAACGACACAGACGCAGCCGCCGTCAAAAGTAACCCCTATATGTCACCTTTTCAAGGCGACACAAAAACGACCATTTTTCACAATATGCTCATGTGGTAAAGAGTTAAGCATAGTAAAGGTTAAAAAGAAAGTAGGTAAAAACAAAACAGTTTATATTAAATTTTATTTTCTCCATCAACAAATCATTCTCAATTTTTTTTAAACATTTTTTATGATTGTAACAGGTGGGTGTCTTTTATTTTTACATTATATTACACAGTAATGACAGTAAAATAAGAAAAAGAAACAGATGTGTTTGAAATACCCTCATTAAATTTTTATCATCTTTATAAAACAAGACAAAAATCACAATTTACTTGGAAAAAAATTCATGCGCACATTTGGCCATAACAAAAGTTCTAGTTATGACAGGGTTACAAATAACTTATTATCACTGACAAATGAATGAAATTGTTTTTATTATCATAATAAAATGTAACTGTAAATAGCTTACAAATATATCTTTCTAACTAAACAAAGGAATATCATAAAGAGTTTGTATATATTTAGAATCATATAATGATTATTATAGAGTTAATCATCCATGTAAATAAGAATGAGTGAACAAGGTTTTTACTTTTACACTAAACAATACAACTATTACTATATTTCAAAAAAATCTATAAAAAACACAACTAAATGCAAGACCATATATAAATGAGTCTGCCAAATAAGGTGACTGTTGAAATAATAATCACATTTAAACTAAGGCTCACGATAATTCCTTGAAGAATAAACTATAATTATTGCAAGACTTTTTGTTTTGGTTTGTAAACTTTGATCACTTTAGTGTAAAATTTTTAAGATTTGAAGACATGTTAAGAGTTACAAGTAAAACCGTGTCGTAACCAAATGAACTTTAACCTGTAGATCCCAACACTGTACAGGGTTGATGTACGCCATAAATATAGAACTAGGCCAGCCTATATATCTGTGCAGTGTTACCAGTTATTGTATCGTTAGATGTAGTTTAAAATACAAGTCAGAATAAGTTCAGTACAAAAATACAGCCACATAAAATTTAAATAGAAAATCATAGCATTATTGGACAATGTTAACTCCCTTAAGATGAAAAATTATGTAGTCATATTAGTACTTAACTACAAAGTTGACTAATTTCATAAAACAAAAATCACAAACTTTAACCTTATTAACATTAAGCAGTTGCTTCTCATTTAAGCAGACTGTAAACAAAGTGAGGTTTCATTATTTGGCAAGATTATCCCCAACACAAACCCCTCATTTTTTGAAAAGTGAAAAAGCATGGAAGACAAACAAAATTAAAGTAAAAAAATATGAAAGATTTTTGTTACCATGTCATCCTTCAACTAAATTGTCATTTATTTGAGCAATATAATAAAGTAAAACATCAAAAAAATTTCTTGCACCACATCTACATCTGTTAACTGATTATCATTTAACAACTAGGCCACACTTACAAAAATGTTTGCAACTTTCCATACAAAGACAATTTAGGTTGGTTCTGTATGTTCTATATCATAAAAATCTTTTTTTTCTATTGTAAGACAAATCTACTTACTTCAAAATATCAATATTAAAGTGACAGACAACAAAAATAAATACATTTCAATATAGCATTTTAATTTTTCAATGTATAACTATTATTATTTCATGTTTATATTTGTAAAATGTTATGATTTTATATGGTTCCTTTGTAACGGCAAATTTGTTTCAGACATTTTGCATAGGTACACAGTAAAGAAGAACCATACTTGTCACTTTTTGAGCAAAAAATCTTATTAAAAGGCCAGTTTTTTTAGCTGGCACAGTCTTAAGTTGCAAAACATACAAAGGCCCTAAGGAAAAATCATTTCAATTAATTCATAGAAAGCAAAAAGCAGGGAACACATTTTAAGCTTGAATTAAGTTCTGAAGCAAAGAATCAAATTCTGATTACATGTAACAACATGGTATGAAAATAAATTAAACATTCGTTTGTAATTTTCATGATTTCTATATTAACATGTAATGATTGAACTTGCATCATATATTGTAGATATGTACTATTATCAATAAGCTATCAATCTGTAACTCCTTTTATCTAAAAAAAATAAAATAAATAAATGTCAAGTGTTGATGTCCTCAACCAACAAGTATATAATATTGTTCACTATATTGATGTCCAGATAATCCCTTTGCTAGTGTACGGTGTATTACTACTATTCATTCACATGATATATATAAGTAAGGATTTTTTTTTTGTAAGTAGCTGCGTATAAGATCACAAAGTTGTTCATGTTATTGCTGACCCATCTCACAGGTTACTTGATTGAATATAGTGCCACTTGTCAACTGAAAACAACAAGAATAAACATTATATTAAAATTGTTATTTATGTGACTGTGTTAGGATAAAATAATACAAACAAAATGAACAAGACACCAGATCATAATGTTACAGCCATTGACAGATTTTCTGAAAATTGTTTTTTGTTGTTGTTTTTCTTGAGGAACAAAAAATTGTGAATATTATACATGGACCAATTATTCAATTTAAACAAATCAGTGAAAGGTATGTCAAAGCTATTTCTAGATTATACAACAATTATGCTAAAAATTTATATAGACAATTCAAAATACCAGATAAGGCACACCAATTTGCCTTAGATGTCTTCCAATTAGTACAAGGGAAATTACTCAATCATTGTAGAAAATATATATGTATGAGTTGTCTTAAACTAAATATTATATTGTGCAATATGATATTGTAAATTTGTACAAAACTCCAAAATAAAATCATAGACAAATTGCTATCTTAAAAGCTGCATGCCTCCAGATTCATGCTATTTTATGAAAATTCTAAAAATGCATTAAAATGTAAAATATTGGGAGTGAATAGGGAAAGTAATTAAATACGTTGCCACAGCACTTACGATCCATATAATTACCAAGATTTTGTCAAAATATGCAAAAGTAGCCCATACTGCATTAGTCATGCAGTAGAAATATGGTGATCAATACTATTTTGTTTGTTTGTTTGTTTCATTTTACGCCTTTTCCAAACAGTATTTCAGTCATATAGGCGGGTAGCTCAATACTAACCACACATAACATGTGAATTATTAATTAAATCTTGAATCTTTTTACTCTTCTTACAATTTTAGTACATTTTTCTCAAGTTTGATTTTCTTGAAATATTTTGGCTTATCTGGAGGCACTTACAAACTACATTGTATCCTTGCAATAGGTTAAATTAAAAATGATAATTGATAGATAGATAATAAGACAAATGTATTAACTTACCATCTTCAGGTAATTCAGCAGGGGCAGATACAGCAGGTTCCTTTAAAACAGAAAACAACATATTAATTAACCAGTCATAGACTGCAGCAATGCATCTCTTTAAATATCAACATCAAAACTAATTTATCTATACCACAAGTTTAGACCTTAAACACACCTGTATTTATATGCTTCTCACCAGAAGCTCTCAATTATTTTAGTATTTTGACATCAAAATAACATTACTTTGATTTGTAGGTAAGATTTTTAAATCTTCAATGAAAATGAACAAATTCCCATCAATTTGTAATAAACTGCTTAATAAATCGTGTCTATATAAAGAAAATCTACTCATCATGACCAGATTTTTATATAAGATACATGAGCTGCGTCATGACAAAACCAACATAGTGCGTTTTCAACCAGCATGGATCCAGACCAGCCTGTGCATCTGCGCAGTCTGATCAGGATCCATGCTGTTCGCTTATAAACTCTATAACAAGTAGAGAAACTGATAGCGAACAGCATGGATCCTGATCAGACTGCCCGGATGGGCAGGCTGGTCTGGATCCATGCTGGGCGCAAATGCACTATGTTGGTTTTGTCATGACGCGGCTCATATGTGTCCAACAGATGCCTGATTTGTCAAACTACAGACAGATTGACAGCAAGATGGACACACAGGAGCAATTCTGTATCCCTTTAGTGGGGGTATGAAAATGTAGGAACTCTTCCTAGCTTTTTTTTATTTGACAGGACTGGAAATATTCATATTAGGATTCATGCACCACTTAATTTAGATCTGGGCAATAAACAAATGTGCAAAATTACTGATCAATAGCTGAATCTGTTTTTCCTGAATCATTTATTTTAATTGTGAAATATAACCCAAAAATAAAATGCTTTTAACACAATTCCAGCTGAAATAGCCAGAAATTATGATTTTCAATAATTTTTTGTTATATTTCTTTATAATCTACTGTATATTTCATCATTTTAAGTGCCCCAGTGGATCTATGGAAGAAATTCAAAATATTGATTTTTGACAGAGTTCTTCATAATAAAATGTATTACTTTTGATGAACATTCTAAATTACCTTATCTATGATGGCTTTGGTATCTGCTTGTTCTATTCTATATGGGCTGCTGGCAACTGACAAATTCTTACTGAAATTTATACAGCATATACAATGATTACATATTTAAATTTTAACTTTATTATCTTGCTTCCTACCTTTGTCTTATGTTTATTATTTAACATAACAAGTAACTTTCATAATTCATTTAAATATAGGTCTTATAAGTAACATATAAGTGTGACGTCATTAATAATATCTAATTGAAATCCCTTAAATTTTAAATGGACTGTTCCAAATTTAAAACTTGGCAAATCCATTATACAAATTCAGTATTTTAAGGGTTAAAAAAAAAAACAATAATATTAGTATTAGCATAAATGTAACACCATAAATATCACATCAATGTAACACAACATACCATTGCAGTGTTCCTCTAGTAGCTTGTTGATCACTGACAAGTCTCTGCCATTGTTGATGAGTTTCATCAATAACACGTAAAGCAAATGCCTGTAAAATATTTAACATTAACTTATTGAGAAAATAAAACTTTATCATCATTTAATACTGATCTCTACTCTTATCTGAGAAACATACTACCCATCTGTGAATTATCTGAGAAACATACTACCTACCTGTGCATCATCTGAGAAACATACTACCCATCTGTGAATTATCTGAGAAACATACTACCAATCTGTGCATTATCTGAGAAACATACTACCAATCTGTGCATTATCTGAGAAACATACTTCCCATCTGTGCATTATCTGAGAAACATACTACCCATCTGTGCATTATCTGAGAAACATACTACCAATCTGTGAATTATATGAGAAACATACTACCCATCTGTGCATTATCTGAGAAACATACTACCAATCTGTGCATTATCTGAGAAACATACTACCAATCTGTGCATTATCTGAGAAACATACTACCAATCTGTGCATTATCTGAGAAACATACTACCAATCTGTGTTTTATCTGAGAAACATACTACCCATCTGTGAATTATCTGAGAAACATACTACCAATCTGTGCATTATATCCATCTGTGCATTATCTGAGATACATACTACCAATCTGTGCATTATCTGAGAAACATACTACCAATCTGTGCATTATCTGAGAAACATACTACCAATCTGTGCATTATCTGAGAAACATACTACCAATCTGTGCATTATTTCAGAAACATACTACCTATCTGTGCATTATTTCAGAAACATACTACCTATCTGTGCATTATTTCAGAAACATACTACCCATCTGTGAATTATTTCAGAAACATACTACCTATCTGTGCATTATTCTAGAAACATACTACTCAGCTGCCACTATTTCAAAAACAAACTAGAGCTATTACTGAAGGTGATTAATACCCCCACCAGCAACTTTGACTATTAAAAGAAATTGAACTCAACTTAAATTAAGTATCAACTGTGTATAAAGAATTATTTCAATTAATTGCAATACAAACCAGGGTCTTCATTTAAGCTTGATATACACCAAGTTTGATTACAATATCTCATTTCTTACTCTATTGTTCGGAAACAATTTTTCTATTTTTAGTAACAGTGATCTTAACCTTGACCCAAGGGGGTCCAAATGCAATCCCAACCAGGGTCTTCATATAAGCTTGCTATACACAAAGTTTGATTACAAAATCTTATTCCTAACATTAGTTATTGTCCAGAAATCATTCTTCTATTTTTAGTTATGGTGACCTTGACCCCAGGGAATTCAATTGCAATACCAACTGGGGGTCTTCATATAAGCTTGCTATTCACCAAGTTTGATTACAATATCTCATTCCTATTTCTAGTTATTGTCTGGAAACCATTTTTCTATTTTTAGTAAAGGTGACCTTGACCCTAGTGGGTACAAATGCAATACCAACTGGGGGTCTTCATATAAGCTTGCTATACACCAAGTTTGATTACAATATCTCATTCCTAACTCTAGTTTTTGTCTGGAAACCATTTTTCTATTTTTAGTAAAGGTGACCTTGACAACAGTACGTCCATAACAATACCGACCAGGGTCTTCATATAAGCTTACTATACACCAAGTTTGATTACAGTACCTCATTCCAAACTTAAATTATCGTTCTGATACCATAATGTGGACCGACCGACAAGCTGCCTCCTATATACCCCCTAAATTTGTTTGTGGGGGGTATAATAAATGATTGCACTGACTCACCTTCTCCTTGGCTTCTCCTTTGTAAGCAAACTGGTTGGCAGGTTTACCATCTGGAATCTTGTAAACAGTGAACCATTCTCGTGTTGCCTATCAGAAGAAATGGTATGATAAATGCACAGACACACATGACATAATATCTTGTTTTGTAACAAATAAAATGTGAGAAAAAAAAATCAATAGCATTTCATATTCTTAAAGTTTAGTTTTAGCAGGATTGAAATTTACCAATCATGAATCTTTACAAAAAAAAACTAGACCTATCAATGAAGGTGATATATACCTCCATCAGCAACTTTGACTTTTTGAAAAAACAAGAGCTGTCGGTAGGACAGCATGCTCGACTATTCTAAGTGCTTGATAGTTAAAGAGCCTTGATAATGTTAAATTTTTTAAGTTCACAAAAGGGCTAATTTTTTTTTATAAATTCATGTTATAGGCCTTAGAGAGAGTCTAATTATACAGTATTGGCTTGACTATTCGGAAGGTAATGTCACAAGGGTGTTTTATTGAGTATAATAATACTAATTACCTATGAATACATAAATTTGACAGACAAGGTACAAAGGCTTGTTATAAAGATGTTTTATCAAGTAAATCACTGCTTTATTATTATGAATGCATAAAATTGTCCCAAAGAAGGCACAAACCCTTCAGTAGTTATTGAGATAACAGCTTACAAACAAAACTTTACCATGAATTTCTAAGTTGAAAAAGGGGAGAAAAATCAGCCTAAATGCAAGATAGAATTATGGATCTTTGTCAGTGACCTACAATTATGACCCTAAATGCATATGTGAAGTTTTAAATAAATATCTTTAATAGTTATTGGGATATGTAAAACTTGCATGTAAACATTAACCAAGAGACTAAGTAGAAAAGGGGATATGAATCAGCCTTAATGCAAGATAGAGTTATGGAACTTGGTCAGTGACATACAATTATGACCCTCAAATTATGACCCTAAGTGCATGTGTAAAGTTTCAAGTAAATATCTTTGAAGACCTTTAACCTTTAACCAAATTTACTAAGTTTCAAAGGGGCAAATAATTCTGCAAATATTGCAGGCAGAGTTATGCAACTTTGCAAACTGATGTACATTGTTACTACAAAAAAGTATTTTAAATTTCAATTGAATATCTCAAGCAATAATTGAGATATTTGACTTTACAAAAAAACTTTAACCAAAATTTCTAAGTTCCAAAGGGGCCATAATTCTGTCAATATTGTAGGCAGAGTTATCCAACTTGTCAATCTGATGTACCTTGTTACTATAAATAAGTATTGTAAGTTTAAATTGAATATCTCAAGCAATAATTGAGATATTTGACTTTACAAAAAACTTTAACCAAAATTTCTAAGTTAAAAAGGGGCATAATTCTGTCAATATTGTAGGCAGAGTTAACCAACTTGTCAATCTGATGTACCTTGTTACTATAAATAAGTATTGTAAGTTTCAATTGAATATCTCAAGCAATAATTGAGATATTTGACTTTACAAAAAACTTTAACCAAAATTTCTAAGTTAAAAAGGGGCATAATTCTGTCAATATTGTAGGCAGAGTTATCAAACTTGTCAATCTGATGTACCTTGTTACTATAAATAAGTATTGTAAGTTTCAATTGAATATCTCAAGTAATAATTGAGATATTTGACTTTACAAAAAACTTTAACCAACGCAGACGCGGACGCTGACGCCGACGCCGGGGCGACTACAATAGCTCTCATATTCTTCGAATAGTCGAGCTAAAAAGTAGTCTGACACAACCTATAGTAATAAAGTATCAACTGTGTACAAAGAATTATTTCAATAATTTGTAATCCCAACAAGGATCTTTATACAAACTTGCTTTACACCAAGTTTGATTACAATATCTCATTCCTAACTCTAGTTATTGTCCGGAAACCATTTTTCTATTCTTAGTAATGGCGACCTTGACCTTGACAAGAAAAGTAGACACTTTAGAGAAAAATCCTGAAAAATCTCGAGGGTGACTTTTTTTAGTTTACAAAAATCGTTCAATTTTTATTCAACCTTGTTTTGTTAATTCATACCAGGCAAAAGTTCATTTCCATTTTTAATGTGACAGACTATAGTTACATTTTACAAGTAATTAAACAATCAGCATACCTGAATAAAACCTGGCATGTGTGTATCTATATCAGCTACATCTGTAATGATACATCATTTATTATAGCATGTGAAGTAACAAGTTCATAACTAGTATTTACAACATTTATATAACAAGATATGTTTGTAAAACATGTATGCCCCCTATCAGCAGCCAATTAGTCATGTGATAAGGTTATTATGACTTCTGACCCAGTGATCAAACAATTAATAAGGGTTATCAAGTATCTACTGGTCATGACCTTAACCTTTGACCCCTTGACCCAAAACTCAATAGGGGTCATCTGCTGGCCACAACCAATCATCATACAAAGTTTGAAGTTCCTAGGCCTAAGCGTTTTTAGTTAATTGATCGGAAACCGTTTTAACATACAAGGTCAATGTGACCTTGACCTTTGACCCCTTGACCCCAAAATCAATAGGTCATCTGCTGGTCATGACCAATCACCATACCATGTTTGAAGTTCCTAGGCATAAGGGTTCTTAAGTTATTGATTTGAAAGCATTTTTACCTACAAGGTCAACGTGACCTTGCCCTTTGACCCCTTAACTCCAATATCAATAGGGGTCATCTACTGGTCATGACCAATAATCATACCAAGTTTGAAGTTCCTAGGCCTAAGGGTTCTTTAGTTATTGATCAGAAACCGTTTTTACCTAAGAGGTCAATGTGACCTTGACCTTTGACCCCTTGACCCCAAAGTCAATAGGGGTCATCTACTGATCATGACCAATCACCATATCTAGTTTGAAGTCCCTAGGCCTAAGGGTTCTTTCGTTATTGATCGGAAACCGTTTTTTCCTACAAGGTCAATGTGACCTTGACCTTTGACCCCTTAACCCCAAAATAAATAGGGGTCATCTGCTGGTCATGACCAATCACCATACCAAGTTTGAAGTTCCTAGGCATAAGGGTTCTTTAGTTATTGATCGTAAACCGTTTTTACCTACAAAGTCAATGTGACCTTGACCTTTGACCCCTTAACCCCAAAATCAATAGGGGTCATCTGCTGGTCATGACCAATCACCATACCACGTTTGAAGTTCCTAGGCCTAAGGGTTCTTTCGTTATTGATCGGAAATCGTTTTTACCTACAAGGTCAATGTGACCTTGACATTTGACCCATTAACCCCAAAATCAATAGGGGTTATCTGCTGGTCATGCCAATCACCATACCAAGTTTGAAGTTCCTAGGCCTAAGGGTTCTTTTGTTATTGATCAGAAACCGTTTTTACCCAAGAGGTCAATGTGACCTTGACCTTTGACCCCTTGACCCTAAAATCAATAGGGGTCATCTACTGATCATGACCAATCACCATACCAAGTTTGAAGTTCCTAGGCCTTAAAGTTCTTTAGTTATTGATCGGAAACCATTATTGCTTACAAGGTCAATGTGACCTTGACCTTTGACCCCTTGACCCAAAATCAATAGGGGTCATCTACTGATCATGACCAATCACCATACCAAGTTTGAAGTTCCTAAGCCTTAAAGTTTTTTAGTTATTGATCGGAAACCGTTTTTGCTTACAAGGTCAATGTGACCTTGACCTTTGACCCCTTGACCCCAAAATCAATAGGGATCATCTACTGATCATGACCAATCACCATATCAAGTTTGAAGTTCCTAGGCCTAAGGTTCTTTAGTTATTGATCGGAAACCGTTTTTGCTTACAAGGTCAATGTGACCTTGACCTTTGACCCCTTGACCCCAAAATCAATAGGGGTCATCTACTGGTCATGACCAATCACCATACCAAGTTTGAAGTTCCTAGGCCTAAGGGTTCTTTAGTTATCACTCGGAAACCATTTGGTCTACGGACCGACGGACCGACGGACCGACGGACCGACAAGTGCAAAGCAATATACCCCCTTTTCTTCGAAATGGGGGCATAATAATGAAAGAATATTTTACTATCAAAACAAAATAAGTACATTGGCATCACCCTGCTAAACCCTTAGCCTGCTGGCAGCAACAGGTTCTACCTATACCAGTTGCCATAAAGCCAGTGCCGACCAAGACCAGCCAGAACTTCTGTGCCGCTTCATCACAGTCTGTATTGTTCGATATTTACTCAGTTTAAAATTTGAAAAAAAAGTGTGAACAAGTTTTTTTAAAATGTTTAGCATGGTAAGGGCAAACATCTTTGAATCTGATGTTGTGATATTTTGAGGTGTTTCTACACATAACTTTAACTGTTTCCATTGAAATACAAAGGAACTTAAATTGATATAGATTATACTGATATAATCGAAAGGATTGTCTCCCTTACTTAAAATACTACTTATCTTATAACCAGTCTGATATGTCATAGAACAATTCTTTAAAAATCAACTTATACTTGCAAGATATTTCTGAAAAAGAATTTTAATTAAAAAATAAATCAAAATCACCCTAAAACAAATCATTTACAGTGAGTTACCATAAATATGACTTTCAACATATAATAATCACCTACCATTTAATTGTGGCGCTAACGGGTCATTAACATCTATACATAGAACTTTCCAATCTGTTTCTCCTGTAATACATAAAGTATCATAGCATAAAGAAACACATATATTGTTATATCTACAGGCACACACATATTGCTATATTGAGATATATAAAGTATTTTTAAGCAATAACAAGTTAGTTGTTGAAATAAATCTATTCTTGTTAGATTAAGTTACACAAGCCAATGAAAGTCCTACTTAAGTAACTTAACATTCCCTGCATCATTGTAAGGGTATTGCTCCCGCCACTCATGAAATATTTATTTTCATACCACTTGATGAAAATATATTCTGTATTTATAGAAAAAACTTGAATATCTTCTATATCTTGAGATACATAATGTTTTTCTTTAAGCAACAAGAATTTGTAACAGAGTTACCAACGTCCCCCGCCCCGGGAGTTTTATATGAAGCATAAAATTATGCTATTTCAAAAGATTGAGGTATGGATCTCAGGACATTCAGTCCAAAATTATGATCAATGCTAGATCTGCAAATGTAACAATAAATTTGTTAAAAAAATAAAATGAAACACGGAATTTAAAAATCTATCATGTTAAGCTTTGACCTCTAAGTGTGAACTTGACCTTGGAGGTAGGGGAGCAGGTGTGTGCATGACATAACGTTTTATTATTATGACTATTTGTGCCATGTTATTTTCAAATCCTTGAACTATGAAGAAGTTCTAGATTCAACACAAATATACCCTATAACAGACTATGTTAATTTTTGACCTCTAAGTGTGACCTTGACCTTGGAGGTAGGGATGCAGGTTGTTGTGCATGACACATCCTCTTATTATAGTGACTTTTGTGCGAAGTATTTTCACAATCCTTTGATCTATGAAAAAATTATAGACCTGACACAAAATATACCCTGTAACAGACTATGTAAGTATCTGACCTCCAAGTGTGACTTGACCTTGGAGGTAGGTGATCGGTTTTTGCGCATGACACATCATCTGATTATTGTTAACAATTATGGCAAGTATTTACAAAAGTCCTTCATAGATAAGAAATTATGGACTGGACACGACATATACCCTCAAATAGACAATGTTGACCTTGAATGAACAAGTACGACCTTGACCCTGAAGGTACGGGTCTGGTTGTTGGGCATGACACATCGTCTTATTATAACAAACATTAGTGCCAAGTTATCTCTAATTCTTTTGATAAATGACAAAGTTATGGACCGGACACGAAATATACCCTGTAACAGACTATGTTAATATTTGACCTCCAAGTGTGACCTTGACTTTGAAGGTAGGCAACTGGTTTTTGCGCATGACACATCGTCTGATTATTATGAACAATTATGGCAAGTATTAACAAAAACCCTTCATAGATAAGAAAGTTATGGACCGGACACGAAATATACCCTGTAACAGACTATGTTAATATTTGACCTCCAAGTGTGACCTTGACCTTGAAGGTAGGCAACTGTTTTTTTTACGCATGACATTGTCTGATTATTATGAACAATTATGGCAAGTATTTACAAAAACCCTTCATAGATAAGAAAGTTATGGACCGGACACGAAATATACCCTGTAACAGACTATGTTAATATTTGACCTCCAAGTGTGACCTTGACCTTGAAGGTAGGCAACTGTTTTTTGCGCATGACACATCGTCTGATTATTATGAACAATTATGCAAGTATTTACAAAAACCCTTCATAGATAAGAAAGTTATGGACCGGACACGAAATATACCCTGTATCAGACTATGTTAATATTTGACCTCCAAGTGTGACCTTGACCTTGAAGGTAGGTGACTGGTTTTTTGCGCATGACACATCGTCTGATTATTGTGAACAATTATGGCAAGTATTTACAAAATCCCTTCATAGATAAGAAAGTTATGGACCGGACACGACATATACCCTCAAATAGGCAATTTTGACCTTGAATGAGCAAGTGTGACCTTGACCCTGGAGGTAGGGGTCTGGTTGTTGCACATGACACATCGTCTTATTATAATAAACATTTGTGCCAAGTTATTTCAAATTCCTTTCATAAATGACAAAGTTATGGACCGGACACAAAAGTGTGACGGACGGACGGACGGACAGACGGACGGAGCCTATTTCTATATCCCCCTTTTTTCTTCGAAAAGGCGGGGGACAATAACAAGTTAGTTGTTGGGAAAAAAATCTATTCTTGTTAGATGTAAGTTACATGTACAATGATACAAGCCAATGAAAGTCCTATTCAACATTCTCTGCATAATTTAATTTTTTAAGAAAGATTTCAAGGAGAAACATAACTATTATTTTCTACAAGAAAAACACCCAAGAACAAAGATATTTAATGTGACTAATGAAAATCATGATCTCTGTGGCAGGAAGTTTAAGAGACTGTGGTTAGATCACTTATCCTTCCCCATTGTTTTGATATGGATTTTTAATGTAAGGAAGCTATCCACTAATAGGAAGTTGGTGGTTCTATTAAGCTGTGAATGCATGGCTGAATTATTGCTTTGACAGACATCTTGGGGTGTTATTTTGTTTTCATGTGAAAAGCTTAAAAGCACTTTATGAATTTAACAGTGTAGGCCTGTGGCTTATAACCCAAAACAAGTAACAAATGAGAATCATACATTTATAATACTCTATTGACAATATTTTGCCTGAATACAAATTAAACAAACTGTTTAGCTAGTCTGTTTAGGCTACAACATATATGTATATGTAAGTTACCTTCATCAACAAGGCACATAACTCCTAAAATCTTTACTTGTATTATGCTTCCTCTTTTATGTACCTGTAGATGAAAATACATGTATTGTTCATTTCAATATCACAAATCAAGATAAATATCAATATAGCATATGAAATGACTATACGCTGAATAATTTACTACAAAATAAATAATTTAAAATTGTTTTTAAAATAAACTTGAATTTAATTATATCAGTAAAACTATGCTGTGTGCTTCCTGTTGTAAATTCCAATATAAAATAATTTATCATTTCTTAAGAATCTGAATATAGTAAAGTAAAATTTACACTATATGTCTATAAATCTAACAGATTAACATTGGACTTCACAATAAAAAACATAAAAAGTAAAACTTGTAAACACTGCTCCAGACTAACTCACTTGTTGTCCAATTTCACAGACATCTAAAGGGTCATTATCTCCCTTTGTACCTGTTGATGGTTCTTCATGATCTACGTCCTCCCATGTCTAAAAATAGAATAATTATAAAACATTAATCCAATATGTATTTAAGTGAATTAGCACATTAATCAACAATCTGTCAGAGGCCCATGTGACTGGCTGGTTAAGGACTCTTTTAAATGCCTATGTGACTGATTAAGGTCTCTAGTTTGGCCTACGCGACTGATTGGTTAAAGGGTCTGCCTGGGACCTATGTGACTGACTGGTCAAGGTCTGTGTCTGAGGTCTATGTGACTGGCTCAGTTGCCTATATGTGACTGACTGGTTAAGGTCTCTATTTTGGGCCTATGTGACTGATTGGTTAAAGGGTCTGTCTGGGACCTATGTGACTGACTGGTCAAGGTCTGTGTCAGGGGTCTATGTGACTGACTGGTCAAAGTCTGTGTCAGGGGTCTATGTGACTGACTGGTCAAGGTCTGTGTCAGGGGTCTATGTGACTGACTGGTCAAGGTCTGTGTCGGGGGTCTATGTGACCGACTGGTCAAGGTCTGTGTCAGGGGTCTATGTGACCGACTTGTCAAGGTCTGTGTCAGGGGTCTATGTGACCGACGGGTCAAGGTCTGTGTCAGGGGTCTATGTGACTGACTGGTCAATGTTTGTGTCAGGGGTCTATGTGACCGACTGGTCAAGGTCTGTGTCAGGGGTCTATGTGACAGACTGGTCAAGGTCTGTGTCAGGGGGTCTATGTGACAGACTGGTCAAGGTCTGTGTCAGGGGGTCTATGTGACTGACTGGTCAATGTTTGTGTCAGGGGTCTATGTGACTGACTGGTCAAGGTCTGTGTCAGGGGTCTATGTGACAGACTGGTCAAGGTCTGTGTCAGGGGTCTATGTGACTGACTGGTTCAAGGTCTGTGTCAGGGGTCTATGTGACAGACTGGTCAAGGTCTGTGTCAGGGGTCTATGTGACTGACTGGTCAAGGTCTGTGTCAGAGGTCTATGTGACAGACTGGTCAAGGCCTGTGTCAGGGGTCTATGTGACTGACTGGTCAAGGCCTGTGTCAGGGGTCTATGTGACAGACTGGTTAAGGCCTGTGTCAGGGGTCTATGTGACTGACTGGTCAAGGCCTGTGTCAGGGGTCTATGTGACCGACTGGTCAATGTTTGTGTCAGGGGTCTATGTGACTGACTGGTCAAATGTTGTGTCAGGGGTCTATGTGACTGACTGGTCAAGGCCTGTGTCAGGGGTCTATGTGACTGACTGGTCAAGGTCTGTGTCAGGGTCTATGTGACTGACTGGTCAATGTCTGTGTCAGGGGTCTATGTGACTGACTGGTCAAGGTCTGTGTCAGGTACCTATGTGACAGACTGGTCAAGGTCTGTGTCAGGGGTCTATGTGACAGACTGGTCAATGTTTGTGTCAGGGGTCTATGTGACAGACTGGTCAAGGTCTGTGTCAGGGGTCTATGTGACAGACTTGTCAAGGTCTGTGTCAGGGGTCTATGTGACTGACTGGTCAAGGTCTGTGTCAGGGGTCTATGTGACCGACTGGTCAATGTTTGTGTCAGGGGGTCTATGTGACTGACTGGTCAATGTTTGTGTCAGGGGTCTATGTGACTGACTGGTCAAGGCCTGTGTCAGGGGTCTATGTGACTGACTGGTCAATGTCTGTGTCAGGGGTCTATGTGACTGACTGGTCAAGGTCTGTGTCAGGTACCTATGTGACAGACTGGTCAAGGTCTGTGTCAGGGGTCTATGTGACAGACTGGTCAATGTTTGTGTCAGGGGTCTATGTGACAGACTGGTCAAGGTCTGTGTCAGGGGTCTATGTGACAGACTGGTCAAGGTCTGTGTCAGGGGTCTATGTGACAGACTGGTCAAGGTCTGTGTCAGGGGTCTATGTGACAGACTGGTCAAGGTCTGTGTCAGGGGTCTATGTGACAGACTGGTCAAGGTCTGTGTCAGGGGTCTATGTGACTGACTGGTCAATGTTTGTGTCAGGGGTCTATGTGACTGACTGGTCAATGTTTGTGTCAGGGGTCTATGTGACAGACTGGTCAAGGTTTGTGTCAGGGGTCTATGTGACTGACTGGTCAATGTTTGTGTCAGGGTCTATGTGATAGACTGGTCAAGGTCTGTGTCAGGGGTCTATGTGACTGACTGGTCAAGGTCTGTGTCAGGGGTCAATGTGACTGACTGGTCAATGTTTGTGTCAGGGGTCTATGTGACAGACTGGTCAAGGTCTGTGTCAGGGGTCTATGTGACAGACTGGTCAAGGTCTGTGTCAGGGGTCTATGTGACTGACTGGTCAAGGTCTGTGTCAGGGGTCTATGTGACTGACTGGTCAAGGTCCGTGTCAGGGGTCTATGTGACCGACTGGTTAAGGTCTGTGTCAGGGGGTCTATGTGACTGACTGGTTAAGGTATCTGGCTTTGAAACATCCACCAGAGGTAAGTTTGAAACCCATCAGTAACAATGAAATACATAAATCATGTTATCAAGCTATTCAGCTAGATTATTAAATGCTGGTGGTTTTTACTTGGATGCCTGCTTATGACTGAAATAATGCAAGGACAGCCACTTAAAGTACGCATTCTACTTGCAAAGCTGGAAAGATGCTGTATGACCCTTTACCATGTCAGTGTGAATTAAAAGTCAACCAAATAAACACAGAAAATTATATTATATAAAGATATGCAGCAATGAACACCATATTCAACTTCCATCTGCTGTTTGTGCTGTTTCTGCTGTTTTGCTAAAACATCATTCCACTGACATAATGATATGGATGCTCAAGTTATTTGCTCCTAAATTGTCACAGTGTGCATGGCCTGTGCCCAAGGATATACAGACATTCATGGTACATATAATGATCATCTATCTGAGCATGACTTAAAAAACTTTACCCTGGTGATAAAAATATATATATCTCTAGTATGGGTACAGATCCTACACACCTATGAAACCATCCTTTATAAACATTTATATTTCACATACATGCAACATGAAGTTCCATCTAGGCTTATATTTCTATTTATATGTTTTTACAAATATAAATTTGAAACAGTTTTCAATATTTACTATAATCAAGTATAGATTTAAGTTCTATAATCTCACCTGAGGAAGGGCTCCATAGTTCCAGATGTAACCATGGTGAGGAAAGCAGTTCTTTACAAATCTAACCTTGTCTTTCTTTACATCTTGTTTTATAGGGTTTAATTCATCATCTTTACTGATCTATAATATCAACAATAAATACATATATGACAAAATTGTAAAACTATCTCAAAAACTCAAAACTGTGAGTCTTCAAAATATTCATTGAGATACAAACAAAAACATACCAATAATGAAATGTTTGCAGAAGTGTTAATGCTCTATATGCAAGAGTAAAGTCATGTATACTTGCTACAAGGGCCTCTCCATTTCATAGTCTTTTCAAATTTTATTATTTTAATACAGAAATATTTTAACTATGAAATGGACAACAGTTACAAATTCAAAGCTTGACAAGTTTTAATTTATAAAATTTAGCAAAGATTTAAACCTAAGAATGTTTATGGAAATAATGGCCAATTAAAGTATGCTCTTGTCTTTTTTTAGCCACTTTTGATCAAATTTCGGCTGTTACTCTACCTGACTGACTTCCTGGACAACTTGCCAGTAATAATGACAAATTTCACCACAGGTGACAGACTACTATAATCCCACATGATATCTAAACCAGTGGTGAGAGATAAATGACCATTAGACTCAAATGTCTGAGATAAATTGCAAAAAAAAACAAAAAAACGCTTCGCCCGAGGAATGAACCAGGAATCTCTCTTGATTACAAATACTCTAGAATGCAATGAGCTATGTGGTCAAATGCGTATATTTGAAATTAGTCTAAATGCCATTAGTCTTAAGCAAGGCAAGGCTAACTGTCAGTGATCAACTTAAATTGGGAAAGTAAGTTGTGATTAAACATATGCAGTGTTTTTTTTCTCTACTTTGGGAATGGTGCCAATACCAGACTGATTGGGAAAAAATGCGTTATTTTGACTCAAATTGGGAATTTTTATTAAGCATCTTTTCAGCTACAAATAAGATTAGTCATAATGAATAAAGACAGTTAACAGCTTCCACTGTCCAGGTAGAACTATTGAGTGGTGATTTATATAAACATGTTTGATTTTAAATGATTTAAGAGAAATCTCATGGCCTTATGGAAATTTTGAACAGTCATTTTGGGAATTTTCACATTTGAAATTGGGAATTTTCATGTCTTTTTTCCATTGGGAACAATACCTTTTTCGGGTAGTAGTTATCTAAAGAAAACAAGAGGGCCATGATGGCCCTGAGGTCGCTCACCTGTATATAGGCCCCCCCAACCCCCAAACGTTGCAGGGCCAATTTAACCCAAGGGCTTTTATTTGCACAAACTTGGTAAGACACCCATAAGAAGATGTTTCATGCTAAACATCTAAGCTCTAGCTCATTGGGCTTTTTAAAAGAAGATTTTTTTTAAGTTTTTTACTATACACATATAGTTAAAAAACAATGACACCCCTGGGGCCGGGCCAGTTTTGACCCCAGGGCTTTTATATTGAACAAACTTTGTAGACACTTACTGGAAGATGTTTCATGCTTAATATCTAAACTCTAGCTATTTGGGTTTTTTCAAAGAAGATTTTAAGTTTTTGCTATACACATATAAAGAAAATCAATGACCCCCGGGGCGGGGCCAATTTTGACCCCAGGTCTTTTATTTGAACAAACTTTGTAGACACTCACTAAAAGATGTTTCATGCTTAATATCTTAACTCTAGCTATTTGGTTTTTTTCAAAGAAGATTTTTTAAGTTTTTGCTATACACATATAAGGAAAATCAATGACCCCCTGGGCGGTGCCAATTTTGACCCCACGGCTTTTATTTGAACAAACTTTGTAGACACCTATTAGAACATGTTTGATGCTAAATATCTTAGCCATAGCTCTTTGAGTTCTTTAAAAGAAGATTTTTTAAGTTTTTACTATATGCATATAGGGAAAATCAATGAACCCCCGGGCGGGGCCAATTTTGACCCCAGGGCTTTTATTTGAACAAACTTGGTAGACACTTATTAGAACATGTTTCATGCTAAATATCTTAGCTCTAACTCTTTTGGTTCTTTAAAAGAAGATTTTTTAAGTTTTTACTATATGCATATAGGGAAAATCAATGACCCCCCGGGGCAGGGCCAATTTTGACCCCAGGGCTTTTATTTGAACAAACTTGGTAGACACCCATTAGAACATGTTTAATGCTCAATATCTTAGCCAAAGCTCTTTGAGTGCTTTAAAAGAAGATTTTTTAAGTTTTTACTATATGCATATAGGGAAAATCAATGACCCCCAGGGTGGGGCCAATTTTTGACCCAGGGCTTTTATTTGAACAAACTTGGTAGACATCCATAAGAACATGTTTCATGCTAAATATCTTAGCTCTAGCTCTTTTGGTTCTTTGAAAGAAGATTTTTTAAGTTTTACTATATGCATATAGGGAAAAATCAATGACCCCCGGGGCGGGGCCAATTTTGACCCCAGGGCTTTTATTTGAACAAACTTGGTAGACACTCACTAGAAGATGTTTCATGCCAAATATCTAAGCTCTAGCTCTTATGGTTTTTTAAAAGAAGATATTTAAAGTTTTTTCTTTTGGTTGCCATGGCAACCAGAGTTCTGCATGGAATTAAATTCTTTGAACAATTTTTAAAGGTGACCACCAAAGGAACATTCCTGTGAAGTTTGGATGAAATTGGCTTAGTGGTTTATGAGGAGATGTCATTTAAAGTAAAAGTTTACGGACGGACGACAGACGGACGGACGCCGGACGAAAAGCGATCACAAAAGCTCACCCTGTCACTTTGTGACAGGTGAGCTAAAAAACACTGATATGCATCACAATACCAACAAATTTATATGTTGTTTTACCTCCATTTTATGATTGGTCCATCTGGGGATTTCAACAACCATATTACAAATTTTATTTTCAGCATCGGCATACAATGGAATGTCATGGAATGCAGAGATTGGCTGACCTTCTGCATTGGCTGAAAAGATAAATGAAAACATTTTGAAAACTTTTTTGTAGACATAAAATCTAAGAAAATGTAACTGTAATATGAATGCATTCTTTTATAAGTATACACTGTAAGTCACAGTAAGTGTTATTTCAAAATGCGTTGTTACTATATGGAAAGGCATTATGTAGAATTTCACATGAAACTAAAAACATATATCTTGTACAAAAAGTAGATTCATGTAAATATATTACTTTCTCATTTGTGTTTATTCTGTGCACAATGTAACTAAATAATTTAAAATATGTTAACATTGCCCAAAAATGATAGAAATCTGTCTGCTAGACATTTTTGTGAAGATACTAGACTTACATTATGTTTATTAGTTGTTAATTAGCTCTGGCCATTACAAAAACAAAATGAACATATGTCCGATCACATTGCAGACATTTTTTATATATAGACCAGACCAGACAATGATAATGTTATAATGACCGGAGTTCACATCATACTACATGCTGATGAGATAATACACAAGGTCATACAAATATCATACAACTAAATTAGTGTCTATTGTCTTGGATACAAGAAAGATAAAAGAAAATACTACTTATATTGAACAGTCATTTCTAAATGACATTATTAATGATTAAAGAAGTAACACTACTGTTGCACTTGTAACAAAATGATTTTCAAAACTAGGCCTTTTTGCCAGAATGTATTTAGTGTAACCATGTTCATGGAAAATGCCCAAACACGGCTTCCTACATTTCAACTAATAAGTAGCTTTTTTGGGGACGAATCATATGTTATTTAAAAGCCTACATAATCACAACAGAAACAGTTTCATTTTCTAAAAATTACTGTAATGTATTCCCGGAAAACAGTTTCATTTTCTAAAACATTACTGTAATGTATTCCCTCTTTTGGCTAAATTACACTAAAGATAACTCTGATTTCAACCTTTTTAACATTGTTAATATGATGCAATATACATCACTTTTCATTAATTCAAACACTTATTTGATATGAAATTTGCACCAAAACAAAAAAACTTTTAAAGGTTTTCCTGAACAAACTAGTGTACAAAGTAATTTAAAATTTATTTATCTTTACACAGCTTTTCTTCTATTTCAATTTATCTCAAAAACTTTAAACCAAAATTTAAAATTATAACAAAAAATTTGTTAAATCAAAATATGGGGGAAAAAGAAAATGCTATACAAGCTTTGGCTTTACTCGTAAAAAGATAATGGGGGCAATGACAAAATGTTGATTATTTTTAAAAAATAAATATTTTTTTCTTTAAAACCCTTTTCCCCACTGTCCTCCTTTTTAGATTATAGAAATGTGCAGCTTGACCTGGCTTTATATTGATGGTCGCTCAATTATTGAAATCCCTTAACTTTGAATGGACTGTTCCAAGTTCAAACCAGAGCAATTCCATTACACAAATTCACCATTACACAAATACAGCAGGTTTTGGGTTAACATCATGAAAGCTTTTAGATAATATAATATAAGCGTGATAATGATTCCCTATGCCACCAGAATTGATCCATACCGACTTGCATGATCATCTAGTGTTGACATGTCCTTATAAATACTTTTTGCCACTTAACTATAACCTGCTGACACCAAAAGTGATCAGCCTTTGTAAACACTTAACAGTATAGAACCAGGACAGCGTGCACATATGTGCAGTCTGTCTAGCTCTTTATTAGTATTTAAGTATCAATATATGTGTAATATGATGTTTTATTAATAGTAAAATCTAGGTTTATTGTTAAGTTTAGTTTAGCAAAATTTGATTCAGATTCTGATCAGTTATTTTTTTAGTTCATTGTTATTTACATAATACGAATCAAGTTTTACTTTCTTTAACATCTTTGTTTAATTTTTGATCGCATTATTATTGTGATTTATATGTCATTTAACATGACTCTTTATAGGAAATAAAAATGATTCTATTCTAATCTATTTTATTGTTGGTAGGCCAACTTGATATCATTAAATTGATAATGGACAGTTTTAACAAGAACTGTCGGAGGACAGTATTGGCTCGACTATTCAAAATGTTGTCACTAGGGTGATTTATTGAGTATAATAATGCTAGTTACCTATGAATACATAAAATTGACTGAAAAGGTACACAGGCTTGTTATAAAGATGTTTTATCAAGTAAATCACTGCTTTATTATTATGAATGCATAAAAATGTCCCCAAAAAGGCACAAACTCTTCAGTAGTTATGGAGATAACAGCTTACAAGCAAAACTTTACTATGAATTTTTAAGTTGAAAAAGGGGAGAAAAATCAGCCTAAATGCAAGATAGAATTATGGATCTGGGTCAGTGACATACAATTATGATTCTAAATGCATATGTGAAGTTTTAAATAAATATCTTTAATAGTTATTGAGATATGTAATACTTGCATGTAAACATTAACCAATAAACTAAGTAGAAAAGGGGAGATGAATCAGCCTAAATGCGAGTAGAGTTATGGAACTTGGTCAGTGACATACAATTATGACTCTCCAATTATGACCCTAAGCACATGTGTAAAGTTTCAAGTAAATATCTTTGAAGAACTTTAACCTTTAACCAAAATTTCTTAGAGTTTCAAACGGGCAAATAATTCTGCAAATATTGCAGTCAGAGTTATGCAATTTTGCAAACTGATGTACATTGTTACTATAAAAAAGTATTGTAAATTTCAATTGAATATCTCAAGCAATAATTGAGATATTTGACTTTACAAAAAAAAACATTAACCAAATTTCTAAGTTATAAAGGGGCATAATTCTGTAAATATTATAGGCAGAGTTATTCAACTTGTCAATATGATGAGCATCGTTACTATAAATAAGTATTGTAAGTTTCAATTGAATATCTCAAGCAATAATTGAGATATTTGAATCTACAAAAACTTTAACCAAAATTTCTAAGTTAAAAAGGGGCATAATTCTGTAAATATTGTAGGCAGAGTTATCAAACTTGTCAATCTGATGTATATTGTTACTATAAATAAGTATTGTAAGTTTCAATTGAATATCTCAAGCAATAATTGAGATAGTTGAATTTACAAAAAATTTTAACCAAAATTTCTAAGTTAAAACAAATTAGATTGTAATGCACAAAAGAGACATTCCTATCTTTGCATTAAGTTTTAACACATGATGTCTTCATTATATTGTCTAGTAGTAGTGAATGCCTGAAGGGCACAATTTAAATATAAATAAATGATAATGTAACATCAATTAATTTTCTGTCAATTTTAAACTGATTTGTTAAGTTAGATAAAGAATGTCATGTTTTGCTATTAATTAAAGTGCATAAAGCTATGTACCTGCTGCAAAAATTATTGGTTGAATTATAAAAAGAATAACTCCAAAATGCTCGTATGAAAGAAATATGGCAGTATCTTGCCTTAAAAGAGAATGGGGCATGCAATGAATAAAATAGCTGCAAAATATTTTGTTCTGAACATTTTATTCTGTTATAATGTAAATATTCATGTGCATGTGTAAAATAACAGAGACATTTTATGTCACAATTATTTCAAGAATTGATCATGAAAAATGGAAATTATGGAAAAAAAATGTAATTTTACTTTTTATAAATCTTATACAATATTTCATAAGATACAGCTTATAAGATATTTTACCTTTATACCATTAATAAATTTCATGTTATAAATGATGTTTAAAAATAGATACAACTAGTGGAATGAGAAACACATAAATTGTCATACCATTGCTAATGTTTGGCAAATTTTGAGTACCAGTAGTTCCAGTATTTTTTAAGTATAGCAGATGATCTGCAAGTTTCATCAATAAAACAAAAATCCATAAGAATTCTTAAGATATTACAATTTAATAACAATTTAATTAAGACTCATTGTTGAATAGAAGTCTTGATATTATCTTATTTATTCACTTGCCACTTAAATCATGCTATGAACTAAGCTAAATTAAATAAATTAATTGCTTATGTGATATGAATATACTGTTAAATGCATATCACTTTATCAGAGTCTAAAATTTTATTGTATCATGTATTTCTGGAAATTTAATATAGAATAAATGTGCAATTTTAATATAGATGCACTATATGTGAATGCCAAGATAAGAATTTCAATTTTTTCTCCACGGGCAATTATTTTGTGAGTGACTCTCTTAGAGCTGTCATTGATTCAGTGCAAAGCATATCAACGATATATCGATAATATCCTATACTCACTTGTCTTTCATTCACTTTCATACCTGTTTCAATGATTTCAGTCAAAAACATGTTCTGTACAGTGTCTTGTCCACTGCATGATTTTTTCAACACAATATTTTTTGTCACCATTGCTATGAAATAATTCCACTATATAACAAAAGCATAACATTACTATTAGATATAAATACATGTAACTGTTTCTGCATATATTTTGGGTGAATTGTATAATTTCTAGACATTTAATTTATAAGTCAAAAGTATAGATTTTTTAAAATGTGTATCGATTATTGATTGACAAAAAAATATCAACGATACATCGATATTGTCGATATCGATGACAGCTCTAGACTCTCTAGAATTCTAGAATTAGAAATTTAGTAGCAAATGTGAATATATACAGGGTTTGAATTTCTACACTCATTATTCATGAACTTTTTTTGCAAAACATTCATACATCACGCACTATGGTCTATTTCATTCTATATGAGTGTGTATTATCAAATATTATAGAATTGATGATTTTGGCAGCATCTGTTTTTTTCTTTGAAAATTAACTTGCAAAAGCTGAAAACTCTGCTACATTATTTTTCGATCATTTACCACAATATATCTTTAGTGAAATAATTTTATTTTAATGGCCATGATTTACACAACTTTAGAATGATTACTTTTAGTACAATTCTTATAGTCAAATGGTGCAAATCGTCACAAACCTGTTTGGTACGAATCAAAATGGAGCGGGTACGAATCGGAATGGGGCGAAACGTTACATTTCGCAAGGTGATTAAAATTAAATTTAGCATTGACATAATAATTTGAGACAAATAACATTTATATGCTACCTACTACACATAAAAAGCTTAACAAATAATGTAAAAAGTTCAATAAATTCAAATAATTAACTGTAAACAAACAGAATGCGAACTCACTGATAAACACTTTGTAGGTGGCCGTGTTAAGTTGACCTCGTTCAATCGTGTTGTACGCCATGATTCTAGATGACAAATGAAGAGATCGTGACCCAATTGGACGGACAGGATATTTTTGGACCTTGTGGCAAACCTCAGCTCTTACGTGGACACCTGACAACCGATACAACACCCGTACAAATCCCTTCCCACGTTGCATTTACTTTCCAATCGACCGGTACACAGGCTGCGCGCGCAGAAAATATTATTGTTTCCGCTAGTAGTAAAAATATCAATTTTAACTTTTTTTTTGTCAAATTGCAAAATGATGATATTTCAATTTTAAATATCAGATTTGTACAAATATTTTCTCTAGTTTATTTATTTGATGAAATATTAGTTTTACTGAACAAATTAATCCTGGACAAAATAATAAAATGAATTAAATGAAAAAAATTACTGTCTTAATTCTTACCGGTTCGCGCTTTGATAAATGGGCGTGGCACTTAACTGATGTGATTGAGGAATTATTGTATTGAAAGACAGTTCAAAGAAAAAAAAAAAAAGATTTTATCAGTCTTTATCAGTGATTGCTACATAATGTGAAAGTAACCGATTGTCTATTTCTAGATATATGAATTATATGTACAGTACAGTTTATTACTGCTCCAATCTCAGGGGTGTTCCTTTCATATAAATAAAGTAAGTAATCTGTCAATACACGAATTTCTTATACAGCATCTTAAGCAGTAGTAACACGAGAAAACACCACGAGAATACATTCATAGCAGATGCTATTTATCGTCTGCTTCCCGTTATCTGATCACGTGATTTAAAAGTGTGCCACGTTATAATGTGTATTGGATGTGTAATAGCCAGCGTTTTCGTGTAGATACAGTAGAATTGAGTGACAGATGGAATGAAGGAATAAGATATATTTAAAAAAAGAAACAAATCGTATGGGTCAAACATGGATGGGGGAGCAGACGACAGTGAGGAATGGTACGATCACGGTGAGTGCAACATTTTTGTGTGAAAATTTTATATGGATTTATCAGTTTACTGCATAGTTCCAGACCATAATCAACCATTTTCAGACTCGTCGAATTATTGTGTTATAACTTTCAGCAAGATATTGTATCGTAAAATCGAATGATATGCGTCGTATAATGTAACTAGCCATATTGTGTGTAAACTTTGCTATCTATCCCGACCATTGATAACTGACCTGAAACTGTAATTTGTTTAAACAAAGTCTTATTACACTTCCGAAATTTATTGCTATGTTTCCTTATCATTAATATTGAATTAATTATACATAACTGCAATTATTTTCATTGTGTAACTTAATTAATAATGTAGCAATTTATTACCATTATTAATTGATAATTTGTAAAACATAAATACATATTTTACATGAGGCCACATATCCCTTGGCAAAATATGTCAATTATGTAGTAATTATTTCCTTGTAAATGTCAGAAAATATCCCGTGCAATTTAAGTTGTAGTGTAACATGTATGTATACGCGTTAGAATTGTAATGAAATGCCTTGTACATGTATGTACGTATATTAAACTACAATATAAGGTTGCTAGACAACGCATTTTGCAGCAAAGCACGTGTTAAAAAAAGTTGTACTCGGCAACGTACTTCTATGAAAATAAGTTCTTAGCTTTACTAATTTCTGCTATCTTCAAATGGTTCTGAGAACTTTTTCTCTTAAAAACGGTATATAAGTAATTCAGTAAGTGTTAAATGTGTCAAACCAGAGATGAGTGCTTTCAGGTTCTCATTATTTCTCTGGTTTGTTTATGATAAGCACTCGTATATTTGTTGTGATTGAACTTAAATGTGGACGCTCAAATTTGCACTTGATTTAAAGGTCCACTTTGGGGTCTTGCCAGTTCTTACAAGCTGAGTTGAACTTTTCATTACGATGAACGGCAGTGCTTCATGAGCATGAGAACATACATCGCTAGTTTGTGGAAATAATAACAATTTTACAAGGACATAAGTGCATACTTGTCCTATTGAAACCTTGGCGATAGTAAATAGAAATACATGTAATGCATTTTTTTTAAGTATACAATCATATAGAATAGGTTTAACGTTTTCCTTGATGCTATCAGATAATCTCCAAACAAATTCTTGAACATTTTTCCTGCAGTTTGGAATAATCAATACAATACATTCATATAGCGACTAGAGGAGTAGTCAATCAATGATTTCTCTCCAAGAATGACTCACGCTGTTCAATACTAATATACATTGTATGCTGGCCTCTATATTCTCTGTCAATCCAAATCTCTACTATATTAATTCAGTTATTATCAGCAAACACAGTTGACAGGAATCTAAGGTCAGCATTGTATAAAGACCCATTATATGACACGGTACTTTGTATGACATTTTGTTATTGCAATTCCAATAGAGAGTTTCAGGGTTTATTTGCCCGGACTTCTAAATTCCAATAGCACGTGTCTCCCCATTCTCCTGTAGCGTGTCTTTTATTGTATAAATCAATATCCAATATATCGTTGTCACTTTAATGTAAAAGAGCATCGGACATGCATGCATTATATATGATTATTGCACATACTGCACATGCAAGATTGCAGAGTAAAAATGCTATAAAATTGTTCTTGCGGTTAGAAATTCTTAAATATGTGCAGCGTCTTAGATATATTCAACATTGGTTTTTATATGTACATTTTTTTTAATAACAGTTTTAAGAAAAGCAGTAAACGGATGTTAATAAGTTTTGCACTGGATCACGTGGGGTTCATTGAACGCCGCCTTTCCTTGTTGATCTTGTTTATCATATTTTTGCACTAAACAACTGCAAAAAAATTGATAAAACGGAAGAAAAAACCATTATGAACCATTCATTAAGCAAAACTACAACTTCTCGAAATATGGAACCTGTATACATGTATTATATTAATGATGCATTTGCCAAGTTTGGAGATGTATGTTGACCTTTAGAATGTTGAAATTATATGTATATATACTCTGTATAATAGTCAGTGGTGATATGTCTTGTCATCGATGCTGTAAATTGTGGGATATTTTAGCAAACAGATATATAGACACATATATAGACACATATATTGACACATATATAGTCACATTTATATACACATATACAATCAATGTATTGCATATTTTAAAAAGATGTATATACAATAAGTTAATTATATTTCTGAACAAAAAAATACATAATTATACTCGTTTGTAAATATTTCCCTTTTTGACCTTACGATCAGTAATTGTCATCTCAATAACTAAATGAACATAACAGTTATAATTTACATTAGTGGTCCAGACGAGGTTCATGTTATTGAACTTTGTAAAAAAAAAAGAAAAGAATGAATGTAGATCTTTTTACGATACGATATTTCCATAGATACGGAAGTAGCATTTCGCGCATGCGCACTCTGCGTATGGCAAAAAGTAATGACGAAAGAATAGATTTATTAACAATTTGATATAATTCAAATTATTAACCGTACGTTTAGAATAGTTTATTTTTTATAAACAACCGAAGCGATGGTGAATTTACATAATTAACTTGAACATTTTATCATTCTTTCATAATTGGTGCATACGGTTCTTGCAGCATACAAGCGTAAGAATTTTACCATCTCTTGCAGAAATGCGTCACTTGGATATATCTAGAACTAAGAACGAATATTGTTTAAACTAAGATTAAATATTACATAGAATTAATTTCTTTTAAATAGATAAGTAATAGAAATGTTAATGACGATTGATCCAGGCACTGACACGGTTTATATAGATCTATTCACTCTGCTTTTAATCGTGGATTGATACAATATGAAAACAGCTTTTCGAAATATTAAAAACTGTTTAAGATAACATTTGAGCCGCGTCAAGACAAAACCAACATAATGGGTTTGCGACCAGCATGGGTCCAGACCAGCCTGCGCATCCGCGCAGTTTGATCAGGATCGATGCTGTTCGCTATCGGTTACTTTACTTGTTTTATAGAGTTTGTAAGCGAACAGCATGGATCCTGAACAGACTGCGCGGATGCGCAGGCTGGTCTGGATCCATGCTGGTCGCAAACCCATTATGTTGGTTTTGTCGTGACGCGGCTCATTTAAAGGTTATTGATTAACAGCAATGTCGTATCTATCAAATAATTGTTTCACGTTTTCATATATTATGAGAGTTACAAGTGTTGCTGATTGTTTCACGTTTAATGACTCACATTGCGTAGTAATTTTCTCATTTTGTGGAAAATGAGTTTTCTCGGAATATTTATTGCTCGTGCTCTTACCCTTGTTCATTCTTAATAACTTATTAACGGGGCACGTGTTTTACAGTTAACGTTTGCACGCGCTGCTCTTACAAAATTATGTACACATAGTCCCCAAAGTCAGGAACATCTATTTTCGGTTTCACTTCTCCAAAATGAGATTATGTACAACACGATATTCATACGTTTTCAGTCAGTACCACTTTTTTTAGACCTTCAAGTAACAAAAAGGTCAAAGGACCGGGTCGAACATAAGCATGGTTACAAATGTTCTTTTTTTTTAATTTGATAAAAGGCCAGACGTTTATAGCAAAAAAAAGTTATTTTTTTAAACGCGTATATCCATCTAATATCTAAGCTAAGAGAAAATGCCGCGTGCATACAGGCAAACATCGTATATCTCCTATTTGAACAGTATATTTTTTTATTATTTTATTTATTTATTTATTTATTTATTTATTTATTTATTTATTTATTTATTTATTTCAAATAAACCTTTTCTGTTTAATTAGATTTCCATTACAGATTATCTGCTGTAAAAAAGGGCTTAACGTTGCTGTTTTTTAAATAACAAAATTTATCAGGAAAAAAGAACACGTTAGCATTAATAACTGACCAAACGCGACACATCTCACTTATTCACTGTCACATTTACATTGTATGACAGCTTTGGATTTTTTTTTATCATATTCACGTTGAATAAGCATGAAACAGTTCTGTATTTAACGGGACTTAAAGCAAGAATTAGAAAAAGATTTATATTAAAGCTGCTACTGGAATTTCCAATTATGTTCATTATATCTCTCACGAAACATTCTATACATTTAAAAGTTCGTGTAAATTTTCCGTAATGGAAAGCGAATTTCGTGTTGTTCCGTGTCTTGTCGGCAGTTATTTTATTTTAATAAGCCAGGGGGCGCAGTCAAAATGGATATATAACGACAATATAAATGTTACATAGCTCTAAGAGTTTCATATACATGTATTTTGTTAATTCTCTTGTAATGCTATGTACTTGTCTTTAACTTACTGGAACCAAAAGGGATGAAGTTTACCACCAGTATATAACAAGGCCAGCCTGTGCGCACATTCATGCAGTCTAACCAGGCTCTATACTGCTGGTAGCTCATTTTTTCACATTGTTCAAATCCCTTAAAAATGAACAAGACCATTTGAGAAATTCAGCAGTAAAAAGGTTAATCAATTTGATGAATAATTTTAAATATGATTCAACGCTTATTAGAGTATATTGATGTTCAATCATATACATCAAATTAAATTATTGACCGTGGTAAAGCCAGTGACCCTGTCAGAAGAAGTGCTGTTGCAGATCATTTTCATCATCGTCGTCATCGTCATCATCATCATCATTTCTTCTTCTTCTTCTTCTTCTTCTTCTTCTTCTTCTTCTTCTTCGCCTCCTTTACTTTTATTATTTTATATCATAATGCTCTTCTTTTTATTTCTGTTTGCATTTGGTGCAATTTTTATGTGTGATAATTGTTATCTATTTAAGACTTGCAACTGGCGGCGGAACTTGGTAAAGCGTTGTTAGAGAGAAACAGAGACCTGGAGGAGAAGTTGTTTCAAGCACAGCAAGCAACTGAAGATCAACAACTTGAAATAGATGTAAGAGAAATATTTAAGTCATATACATATGTTAAGAAAGCCAAATGTTTCGACACTGTGCAATGCATTACTTCTCTGGTGTTAACCACCACGACCTTTCGTGGCAGACAGACACATTTTAATGGCTGCTGCATGCGATAGTGATACTATAATCGTCTGTATGAAAGTAGATAATATCAACAAGTCTAATTTAAGAGACTTGTATGCTGCTATATTTAGAAATCTGCAGACATCAAACTGGTGTTATTTCAAATCGATTCTCCAAGAAAAATACATAACTGCCGCATTAATGCTATTGTGAGCTATGTTCAAACACTGAGGCCATATTAAATGCTTGTGATACTTGTACGGTTTGTCTCATGCATTTCTTCGGGCATATCATTGATGCAGTATAAAATTGTAATTTCAAAGCAAAATTAAATTCATTGAAGGATATGAATTTATTTTTAAAGCTTACGTAAGCATTCGTTCTGAACTTCTCACCGTTTTATTCGCTTCAGTTAACTTTTTGGAGTACATGCAAGTAGATATTGTTGTAGCATAATACAGCACGTTTCATATTCTAGTATTTTTACAGTAATTACATTTACAAGAATGACCGCCAGCCTTCTATTCTATATCGATTTGATTGTGGTCTACAAACGCAAATGATACGAATTCCGTTATTACAACGAGACCTGTTCGGGAACTTGGGGTCTACTTCAAATATAAATCTAAACGAGTATGCGCCTTTAACTTTTATTTCCTTGATAAACGTCAATAAGCGTTGATAAGCGTTGATAAGCGATTCTCTGAAAATATTCATTTACAATTTGTACTTCTCAATAAATAATAAACATAAAAACATTCACATCATCAATAAATTATATATGAATTACACAATAAATCTAATTAGAACTTTTGTACCTTTAAATTTAAATCTTACTGTAAATTATCTTTTAAAAACAATTGCATTTTACTGTTAAATTAAACATACCGATTTTGACTTGTCTCAATACATCAAGTTCCAGATTTAAACCGACGAGATTCTCAATAACAAAACAAAACAAAAATGATGACGTCGACATAAACATCTTACGTCGCGTAAAGTAGCGTAACATATTGACGCCATTAACAACGTTCACAAATCTGAAGTACTTAGAAATCAATACGTTTCTAACAGTCCTCGCCATGAAATTACTCTTAAATTTCATCAAAATTCGCAATAATAAGTACATGACATTGTACAATAAAGAGACAAAATTGACCTTTGCCAACTTAAAAATATGTATATTCGAATGGTAAAGTTAAAGCTTAGCTTTCAAACTTTAAAATGTCAATAAGCAACATGAGTATGACTAAGGTGAACTTTCAAGTAGACACAATTTAGTAATAGATTTCACTGATTCAGTGTCTTTGTATTTCACAACACAACTTCTAACATGTCCATCTCGGCTTTCTCTATCTGGATAACACGTCCTAAGGGCCATTGTCCCCTTGTAGTATTCTCGTCAGAAACTAACACAATGTCACCAACACGCAAATCTGTAGTTTTCCTCTGCCATTTTGAACGACTTTGCAGGGACGGTATGTATTCACGGACCCATCTTCTCCAAAATATATTAGCCAGATATTGTACTTGTTTCCACCAACGCTTTACATAATTGTCTTCATTCTTAAACACTCCCTTTGGAATACTGCTGTTAGATTTCATTAATAGTAACATGTTTGGAGTTAAGGCTAACAAGTCATTTGGGTCGTCACTAACAGGGGTTATTGGTCTATCGTTGAGTACCCTTTCGGCTTCTGTCATCAAAGTAAGAAGCTGCTCATCTGTAAGAAGTTGTTGCTTGATTAATGATTTCAAAATAGTTCTCGTAGAACGAATCAGTCTCTCCCACGCTCCTCCTCGGTGACTTGCTTGAGGTGGGTTAAAGTTCCACTTAATTTCTTTTTCAGTCATAAATTTTCCTATTTTCGAATTGTTCCATTCTTGAATCGAGTGTCTTAATTGACGATCACCGCTCACAAGATTTGTTCCATTATCACTGTACACCTTCTTCGGATATCCTCTTCTAGCCGTAAAACGCTGAAATGCTGCGATGAAGGAGTCAGTTGTCAAAGTGTGTGTAACTTCAAGATGTACTGCTCTAGTTGCAAGACACGTGAAAAGACAACCGTATCTCTTTACATGTGTACGCTCTGCTTTTACAATAAGTGGTCCAAAGTAATCAATACCTACATTCGTGAACGGAGGTTCATCTGGTGTCGTCTGCTCGGGTAGGAGAGGGGCCATCTGTTGAGTCATCAATGGGGTATGTTGTCGTCTGCATATAATGCAATTCTTTACAATATTTTTCACTGCACTAGGTCCCTGAAGTATCCAGTATTTTTCACGGGATGCTGTTTCCCGACGTGACCATTATTTTCATGTATGTGTCGTATTATGTCGTATTATCAATCTTGTCACGGTATTTTTATTGGGTAGTATCACTGGACAATTACTCTGGTTGCGAGATTGAAGTCGACCCTGTACCCGAATGAGGTCATCATATATCATAGGATTCAATGAAGCTATACTACTGTCCTTTTTGACCGGCTTAGAATTTTGTAAATTGTTAATTTCACTGGAAAATGCTGTTTTCTGTACATACAACATTATATTATGCTCCTGTCTGGATTTCTTCTAATGTTAAGTTGCCATCTACCATTTTCAACTTGTGTTTTAGGTATCGCTGTCTGCAGAAATTCTTGTATCTTAGCAACCATGCGACTGCTCTTCTTAGTTTCGTCCAGCTACAATAGCGATCTATAATGCTATCTAGGCATTCAGCTGCAGAAGTTTTATTAATCAGGACTTCTTTCTTGACCTCGTTATCATTTTCTGCTACTTCCGGCGGAAGTGGATTTTTTGTCCATTTTTCAGAGTCTTGCTGAAGAAACATAGGTCCATTTAACCATAAATTAAGTTTTTCACTATCGTATGCACTTATTCCTCTGGAAGCTATGTCTGCGGGATTCGAACTTGTGTGTACATGGCGCCACTGGTCTGGGTAAGTTGTTTCATGAATTATGCTGAGTCTATTCCCAACAAACGTCTTGAACCGCTTGGACACGTTATTTATATATCCAAGAACAATCATGGAGTCTGTCCAAAAAGTAAAATGGTCAAAGTTCATATCTAATTCTTCAGATAACATTGCAAATAATCTACACCCTACTACAGCGCCAGATAACTCAAGTCGTGGAATAGACATCTGCTTTATTGGTGCTAGATGAGATTTTCCTATCACCAGGGAACAATGTACGTTGTCATGTACATCAACAAAACGCAAGTAAGCGCATGCACCATAGCCTCGTTCCGAGCCATCACTGAATATATGTAACTGGGTATTTCTGACGGTCCCAAATCCCTGTGGTCTGTACCAGCGATTCACAGATAGCTTTTCTAAGCTAGATAAGGTAGATAACCATGATTGCCATTCATTACTGATGTTGTGTGGTATCTGGTCGTCCCAGCCAATCTTCAATCTGCACAAACTTTGTACTATACCCTTGGCCTGGAGTGTAACAGGTGACACAAGTCCAAGTGGGTCGTATATAGAACTTACGACGGAAAGAATTCCACGTCTCGTGAAAGGCTTCTTTTCCAATTTTACTTTAAAACAAATTTTATCTTCATTTACATTCCAAAGTACTCCTAAGGCGCGGTCACAAGGTAAGGTATCATCGAGACTCAAATTTACAACAGAAGGCGCGCGTTCGGATTCTGGGATAGCATTCAAAACTTCTCTGCTGTTACTTAGCCATTTAGTCAGTCGAAATCCGCCTAACTTCATAATTGACTGAAGATCAGTTGCTAACTTTATTGCCTTTTGTTCTGATTCCACAGACTTCAAACAGTCGTCAACATAAAAATTTCTCTGGACTGTAGTAACCACTTCCGGTTCAAATATTTCGGCATTGTCAACTGCAGTTCTCTTTAAGGCATACGCCGCACAACTTGGTGATGATGTCGCTCCAAACAAGTGTACATTCATGCGGTAACACTTCGGTTTCTTGTTTAAGTCCCCACCAGGCCACCATAGAAAACGTAAAACATTGCGATCTTCATCCGTAACGCGCACTTGATGAAACATGGATTCTATATCCGCGGCAAGGGCTATTTTCTCTTTTCTAAAACGAATTACTACGCCCATAAGACTGTTCATTAGGTCATGTCCTTGGAGCAATTGGCTATCCAATGAAACGCCTTTATATTTCGCAGCGCAATCAAACACAATGCGAACTTTCCCTGGTTTGTTTACATTAGTAACTGGATGATGTGGTAAGTACCAGATACGTTTGTGATAGTTTTCGTCCTCAAATTCCGGTAATTCAGTCGCAAAACCTTTCTGTATATATTCGTTCATGGTAGTTGTGTACATTTTCTGTAACCCTGGGTCACGTGACAGTTTGTTTCTTAGTTGTTGAAGACGCACTTGAGCGAGTGGAATGTTGTTAGGCAATTGTCCGTTCTCGTTTTTCCATGGTAACCCCATCATGTAGTGTCCGTCTTTATGAATAAGAGAATATTCCATTATTTTCATTGCACTTTTGTCTTCTAAGGACATAGAATTTTTCTCGTTCAATCTGTCTTTAAAATCAGTATTCCACATCTTTTCTAATTATTCCTGTAATAATATGTCTCTGGACTGTTCAAAGTGAATATTTACTGCACTGGGAGCTGTATCGTCTTTCAAGGGGCCAAGAATCGCCCATCCTAGGCGGGAACGCACTGCATATGGTTGGTCACTGTCTCCTGACCGTACTTCTAAGGGGATATGGGCTGCTGGGAAATCTGTGCCAATAAGAAGCATTACATCAGTATTGGGAATTTGGGGAATTTCAAGAGTAATTTCATGGCGAGGACTGTTAGAAACGTATTGATTTCTAAGTACTTCAGATTTGTGAACGTTGTTAATGGCGTCAATATGTTACGCTACTTTACGACGTTCACAAATCTGAAGTACTTAGAAATCAATACGTTTCTAACAAGACCATAATTACATTTCTGCCTTGTTGATAACTTCTTATTATATTATTCTTTTCAATAATTCCCTTTCTGAATTCATGTGTGCAATGGATTAAAAAAAATTAACATTGGACCATTCCAAGATCATAAGTCTGATAATTTTTTTATTCTTGTTAAATTGATCAGCGCAGCCTTTTGGCCTGAATCCAGATTGAATAAGTTTCACATTTTTTTGTCAATTTCTGGAAAAACAGTTAACCTTAATCTGCCGGAACCGAAAGTGATTATTAGTACATGTTTTTAACAGTATATACATGTATAGAGTCACATCAGTCAGTGTAATCTGGACCAGGTTCTATATTGTCGCTAGCTTTTTTGGTATTTTGATATAAAAATCCTTTAAACCTTAAAATTGAGCCTCGTCACGACAAAACCAACATAATGGGTTTGCGACCAGCATGGATCCAGACCAGCCTGTGCATCCGCACAGTCTGTTAGCTATCAGTTTCTCTACTTGTAATAGAGTTGGACAGCGAACAGCATGGATCCTGATCAGACTGCGCGGATGCGCAGGCTGGTCTGGATCCATGCTGGTCGCAAACACACTATGTTGGTTTTGTCGTGACGCGGCTTTAATAGAATGTTCAAATATAAAGCAAACATATTCTGCAGGTTAAGGGTTTATTATACATTTGTATATTTACAGTATTTGAGTCACCAGCTGGACACTGTACGGGAATCAAGCGAAACAAAGAATAAGATATACGAGGAGATAGATAAAACAATACAAGACCTGGAATGTCGTAACCAGAAATTGATCATCGACAGCAAAGGTGATAAACAGAAGATTGAAAGGTACGGTGTAAATTTTTGCCAAACACATTTTCATTTTAAAACGTAAGCATTAATTTTTTCAAAGGGCCTTCACTTGAAATGTTATATTTTTATGACTAGCCCAGGGGCTATTCATTCATAATTTTAATTACTCAGATTCTAGTGTACAGTAATGCAATAAAACATACCATGTCCAGGCTTATTCTACATTTTTATAGTTTTGTAAGATTGTTAGTTGACACCAAGCACCAGGTTGTTTCCTTTGATAAAGACATTAGGAAGAATAAATATGAACATTGAAGTTATTAACATATATTGACACTACAAGTGCATGTATAAACCTCTGGACGTGTGGATATGTATTTGCACGTTCAATTCCTGTTGCCATGTTTCGTTTTTACGTTTAAAGGTTCTATAACAAAACTGTCCTTTGTCATATGTTTGATACTTTTTTGTAGATTAGCAGACACGGTAAGAACTTTAGAGGAAAAGAATGAAGAATTATCAAAAAGAGTTGATGACTTAAAAGCTGCGGAACGCGAGAGGAAGAAAATGCAGCAGCAGCAGAATAAAGACACGCGCCGAGCACGTAGTCTGGCCAATCTCCCGGATAACAAGGAAAATCTTGATCTGTGCTACGAGAGGATTGGAAATTGGACGTATAATGAAAGGTTTAAAAGTTCAAATTTACCGCTGAATCCCTTCGAAATCGAGATTCGAAATCAACAAGAAATAATCAAACGTCTGAAAGCGCAGAATATGCTTGATAAACGCAAGAGAGAGGACTTTGAAACGGAAGTAGCGTTGCTTTGGGAAGAAAATACTTCACTGGAAGTAAAAATGAAAATTTTGGAAGAGGATTTATTCAAATATAAAAAATTACAAGACGATATTCAAAAAATTAAAATGGAGTCTGGCAAGTACTGTATTAATTGTGGGAAAACGTTGGATTTGTTAAAGAAACCAGGTCTTCAATCAGAAGTCGAAGATGACGAACCTCATTTTAATAGTGAAGGGAAAATTGTTAAAATGGAAAGTGGTGGTTCGATTTATGGTAGCCGTGAATCTTTAGATCAGGTTGCTATGGAAACAAAAGAGACTATGACCTCGATTGACAGCCCGGAGAATCCGGAAGATGCTGGAATATCGATTTTGAATGAATTAGAACTTCAGTATCAATCTCTCTTCAAAAAGTATGAACTGTTGCTACAGAAAGGCAAGCGTCCGAGTAGTTTGTTACTCGAAGATGATGAAGAGGCGGAGAGGGAGCTTGAAAAGCGTCTGTCCAACAAAGCCGTGCAGACCACAATCAAACTGACAAAACCTGGCGATGACCTTGAAAATCCTCCATACAAAATGATATTTAGAGACATATTTGCAACGTTGAAGAAATCAAGGATAGAAGAGTCTGGCGAAGCGTGTGTGACGTCACCGGAAACTCAACATGGCAAAGCAACTCACAGCTCTAGTCCTGTTCCAGATGCTAGATAAAAAGTCATGCAATGCAACATTTTGTTTTCATTACTAATGTAATGAATCGAGTATTTATTTTAATTATGCTATAAAATTGATCAAATGATTTTACTCTAAATCGCCTTCCTTGATTTTTTTGGGATCAGACTAAAGCACTGACCAAATATTCGCAACTAGTCATTTAATTTATTGGAATTATGAAATGTTCCTCTTTGTATTATAATGTGTGCAATATTGCTAGCTTTGTGTATCATTTCTGTTTTGTCTTTCATGGTTACCTAGACTATAAATTGTCTAATAACCGCCGTGTTTTCTTTGTTGTTTCCATTGATATTATTACCACCAGATGATGAGTTTCCTTCATATTTTATATTATTGATTTAAAGAAAAATAATTTTATCACTTCATTTTAGAAATAAATGCAAATCTCTTTGCAATATGACTTTGCTTATTTCTATCTCTCAGTGTTACGTTTTTGAAAGTACAAAATATAGATATAATTTAAGTAAAATTAAAAAACACTTTTCTGCAGAATTGAAGTTTGCTTTATTCAACTTCACACTTCCATTGTGTTTATCGAATATGTTTTAAACTAGAAATGTGTCCATAGGACACAGATTCCTCTACACCACATTGTCAGTCTACTGACATACAGCAGGACAGTATGACAGAGGGACAGACAAGGGAACTCACACGACCCAAAAGTGGTTTGACATAAAAAAACGCGTCCAATTATTCCGATGTTGACATCTTGATTTTATCACAATAATTACGGATTTCAAATCTCAATTTTATATCCTAAAGTATGCTTTAAAGAAAATATAAACAAGCTAAACCCAATTTGCACAATTATACATGCTTACCAACATTTCTGTACAGTTTCATGGCTTTAGGTCAAATACTTGTTATGCTTCTCGTGACACAAGTTGAAAATTGCAAATTTTAACTAAGTCAATTGCAATAACACTACAAATACTGAATTAACCCACACAGCCACGGGTACTCAACTTCACTTGCTGATCAACATTCCTGTAAAGTTTGAAAACTCTAGCTCAAGCACTTAAATATGTACATGTGATACAACGTGATAACACATGAGAACGCACGCGCGGACGGGCAAATCTAAATTTCCCTGTAGTGGGGCATAAAAATTGCATAATGATATTGAAGAATTTGCAACAGTATTGGAAGGAAAAAATTCGTTCGAAATACCTGCATGGTCACACTATGTGGTCCTTAATGGGTACCTTTTGATATGCCATCTGAAAACATGGGGAATATTTAAGAATATTTGTATCGCAATTAGCTCAGTTACAAATTACATTTTACTTCTGGTATTATCTACGGAAACTTTTCTCTTTATACAATATATATGCAGGTCCAACCACGATTTTCGATACTCAGAATTGAAGTACCCGATTGGTCAATTATCAGTTAAATATACAATGGGTTTGAAAAGGAAATACTCATTACTGCATCCGTTATACAAAAGTGACAATATTGAGAGATAAATTCTTTCGATGTATTTTGGGTAGTACCGGGTGGTACTATGTGTTCACTAGAAGAACCTTTTAAATGTGGGTGCTTAAATCTGGACAGCATCGATTCATGAAGTTTCTTCTTGTTCTATCACACCGTCATCATCAACAATTCGAATATCTTCCCCATATAATCTACGACGGAGGTCAGCAACGTTTGTAGCTTGGATGTAAGCATATTCGTAATACATGTTCCTCACTCCTTCAACTACGGCCAGCTTCAGTCGTAAGTTGTACCGGAAACGGTGGAAATTTTCTTTTTTGGCTTTCACGTAACGCTTTGTCATGTCCTCTAATTGTCTGTTCATCGAAGTTATCTGAGCGCATGATTTCTTCAACTTGTATTCTGCTTCTGCCAACGCTTGCTCGGCTGCTGCTGTGATTACTTCATTTATTTTCGTTGTCGTCATTTTGACAATTGGTTGTAAGATATCTTCTTTTCGATGTGACGCTATTGACACAAAGTCGGATTCTAACGAGTCACCGGTTTCGACGGATCATAAATACCGCACGAGGTGACAACTTGCAATGGCATGTTTACACGAGTTATTTACACGTTTTTTGAAGTTGACGAGGTCAATCAGATTGAGTAATTAAAGAGTAATGAATAAATAATGTTTATATTATGTCGGTATTTTGATTTGTTGCCTTTAATCCTTAATTTTTAGTCACTTTGTTATTTTTATTTTGAATTTTATCAAGAAATCTGATAAAGAAACATATTGGTGTTAGGATCAGATTGTTTTATCTGAATAACGTTTCACGTTTGTTATTTGTAAAATCGCATGTAGTAAGAAAATTTCACTTTATTAATCAAATTTTGATTTTTTGTTTGTTTTCTATTTTCTTATGGTCCAAAAGTATTTTTGATCCCAGTTATTATTTCCAATTTCAAATCAATATCATTACTGTGAATAAAATGATTGCTTTTTCGTTGATAAATTTGTTAGAAATGTTAGTAGCTGAATAAAGTTAAATCAGATTTTATTCTTTTATAATAATATACATGTATGAAGAGAATATAACGAGAAATAAACGAAGGGATTTCAGAAAGTACATGTTTAATTACTGATATTGGTTGTCTAATGTACATAAAAACAATCTTACACGATGCGCAGTCAGTGTAGCAAATTCTATCACTATACATGCTGTAGTTGGATCCTCATTCCAATGTCATTCTATCAAATCATCAAGTCATGTCCCATGCAAAAATGTCGTTGAAATGAAATAGAGACATTAACTTAATTTAAGTATATAAAGCTATTTATTAATCACTTATAAATAAAATATTAATGAAATAAAATGCTTTATTTTCACTGCATTTTTTTTCAATTCAGTGAAACATATTTTCCGTCTTTTTACTTGTGTCTTTTCGGACTACTTTCTTCTATAAATACATCCAATGCACATGATTTAAGAGAAAGCCTACCAAATTGTGTGGTCAAAAAGAAAAGAAGACAAAATGTATATAATAAACAGAATATTCAAGGTTTTCATATTCATCATCTTTTGATATGAAAATAATCATATTTCACTCGTGGCTACCGCCATTCATAATCTATTTATTTTTATACCACACGATGAAACATAAATGATTGAAAGAACATCTTGAGTATCCCTATATATCTGCTGAGAAACTTATTGAGTGAATTTTTATAAAATAATACAAATTTACTCCAAAAATGCTATTCTAGTCATTTTGAAACGGTAGTAATTTTTATTTACGGTGCGTTGCCTGAAGTGGACTTGTCGAATCAAAGTATCCTTCAATTACACTGTAAATTGCACCAACAGGCCAGATATGCTTTTATCATTCCATCAAAATATCTTTAAATTCATTCCATTGTGAATGATGACAATCAGTTACATGTCAAAACATGTCAAAATATTTGTTATAGTTAAAGGCCATTTAGTTACAATTAAATTAGCACAATGCTCCTTTTGAAGGTCGCATGCCATGTATTGTTGTTATTCTAACATTGTTTTCTTGAGGAAAGGGTAAATGGTTAAATGGTTAAAACGTTTATTATTTCCACAACGAATTTGACGGCCAACATAGTCATACAAAATGCATACATGTGCAATTTACCTTAGAAAATGTTACACTAAGTAATTGAAACATATCTGAAAGGGAGACACAGGCAAAATTTTCAATTACCAAACAGTGGTCAAAATATGCATTAATAGCCTTTACTGCGTTAGTAACGCAGTAGAAATATTATTATAGCTTTAAATACTAAAAAATCAGGCATTTATCGCACATATAATAATATGTTAAATATTCCCTCATAACTTTTCCTACATATTAGTACATTTTTCTCAAGTTTAATTTTATTGAAATATTTTGACTCATCTGGATGCATGTACATGTAGCTTTAAGATTTCACAACAGTTGTCACAGTGAACTCCCGTATATAATTGTTAAATAACATATCAAAGGAATGACTTAGACTTGTTTCAAGCATACACTATCCACTTTATCTGTTATTGTAACTTCCATGCTTTGTTCAAGTCACATGGCTTGTTTTAAAACTACTAAGTGATTCTGTCGCCGTCTAAATTCGTTCAACATACATGTATATGGATATATTTACGCTTCAAACCCAAAATATATAGAATTTATACAGACATTCATGCTAAGACTTTAAAAAGTCATTTTAAGCGTGATTTTAGTACATAAGATCACCTTAATATAGTTTTATCATTAATTTGCCTGAGTAAGGACGAAAATAGATTGAGAGTTTGATTTTTATTAATTATGCCAAAATGTAGGGTATTTAAATCAGATTATTCCTCATACTGTGTATCATATGTTTACTTGTTACTTATACATATCATGTGGATACCAAAAATAACCAGAAAAATAGCCGGGCATACATTTTCTACAATAAAAGATCTCATATATCTTTATTTTCATAAACTGTTACTGGCTGTGATTGAAATTATTTGAATACATACGTTATACAGAAGTGACAATATTGAAAGATAAATTCTTTCGATGTATTTTGGTTAGTACCTTATGGTACTATGTGGTCCTTACAAGAACCTTTTAAATGTGGGTGCTTAAATCTCGGCAGCATCGATTCATGAAGTTTCTTCTTGTTCTACTAAACCGGCATCATCAACAATTCGAATATCTTCCCCATATAATCTACGACGGAGATCGGCAACGTTTTTAGCTTGGATGTAAGCATATTCGTAATACATGTTCCTCACTCCTTCAACTACGGCCAGCTTCAGTCGTAAGTTGTACCGGAAACGGTGGAAAATTTCTTTTTTGGCTTTCACGTAACGCTTTGTTATGTCCTCTAATTGTCTGTTCATCGAAGTTATCTGAGCGCATGATTTCTTCAACTTGTATTCTGCTTCTGCTAACGCTTGCTCGGCTGCTGCTGTGATTACTTCATATGTTTTTACTGACGTCATTTTGATATAAAGTTGATAGTTATCTTCTTTTTGATGTGAAGCTATTGATACAAAGTCGGATTCTAATGGGTCACCGGTTTCGACGGATCATAAATACCGCACGAGATGTCAACTTGCAATGGCATGTTTACACGAGTTATTTACACGTTTCTTGAAGTTGACGAGGTCAATCAGATTGAGTAATTAAAGAGTAATGAATAAATAATGTTAATATTATGTCGGTATTCAGATTGTTGCCTTTAATCCTTAATTTTTAGTCACTTTGTATTTTTTAATTTTGAATTTTATAAAGAAATCTGATAAAGAAACATGTTGATACTTTTATCTGAATAACGTTTCACAGTTGTTATTTGTAAAATCATAGGTAATTTTGATAATCAAATTTTGATTTTTTTGTTTGTTTTCGTTTTTTATAATTATCTGGGACCAAAAAATAATTTCTGTCATAGTTTTATTTTTTTTCAATTTCAAAT